TTTTAATAGGAATATCTAAAACATTACCGCCACCGTGATAACGGTTAAGACAACTATTAAAGACACACAGTGGAAGACTAATTTCAAAACATTTCAAACCAAGTCAACTTGAAAAGTCAATCAACGAAAGTAAGTCAAACGTAGTAAAATAAAATCAATCTACAACTTGGAACCATTGTAGGCCCTTATTAAAAACAAACCGAACTCAAAACCCTTTTCGTTAGTCACACACATAATAATAAAGTCATAAGTAAATAAAATAATAACACATTCATATACTTATAGAAACTAGCATGATTCGCTCTTCACTCATGTCCATTCATGAAAATGCTTCATCACCTAAAAAGCTTATCTATACTTGTTTCCACTACTCTCCATTAAAAATTGGTCATCATAGGGTCAAGATAAAGACAAGGCCAACAAACACATAATACATACAATCAGCAAAGCTGAGTACATAAGCGTAATTAACACACTAACATACAATTTCCTATCAACACACAACTTACCTCGTTGCACCTGTTTTTCAAGCATACAACATTCAATAAAATTTCTCACTAGACACTACATAATTTATTTAATGTTGACTACGCATCGAACGAGTTTCCCACTCAACCTCCCCCAAATAAATTGAGGTTATTGACACGGGAGCTAACCGTGCCAGCATCAATAACCACTTGTAAGTGGCGGAATTCCTGCGCATAATAATAATAAAAGGAATGTATAGCGTCCTGTACTCTAGTAGAAGTTATCATCAAATATAAAGTCACATAACTCCCCCTATATGTTCATACTCAAGGTGTATACATTCCAAGAGTTTTGGTGCGTAATCTCTTTCACTTTACGTTATTTACAGATTATTAAACTTGGTGATGATTCTCAAACCATAATCAGTTAACCAACAATAATTATTCAAACAATCAAATATACCAATTTAATTCTTGAATAATTAGTGACCACATAATATTTAATGTTGCATCCTTTTAAATTCTACCTCGGTGCCAATGACACCTTAAACGCATAAAGCGCCTCAATCCTATCCCTCAGTATTAAAAACACCTTAAGTGCACTAAGGCACTAACATACAATTTATTACCTGTGTACATAGACACTTATATAGCTCTTTCCTCATGCTTAGCCTATAGCATCAATAAAAATTATATGAACCATAATAAAATTTCTTTTCAATATTCCAAACCAAATTAACATTTGGTTTAATTAAACTTGCTTTCTAACATGTCATAAATAAATATGTGGTTCATAAATAATATTCCAAACTATTAATTTCCATTCAATAATCCATCACAAATAAATCATGCTTCATAATTCAATCACCAATAACATCCAAATTATAACTTCCATTCCAAACTTAGCATGATACTACTTGTAATCAATCAAACACATTTAGCATGCTATTATATTAACATAATTATGCTAATTTAAGTACGCGAACGTACCTTGTATACGATTTTAAAATAGCCACGGCTAATAAAAATCGCTCACTTCAAAGTCTCCTACAATTTAAAATTATAGAAGAGTATTAAAATCCATCTACACAAATTTCCAGCAATATATAATATTATAAAACCCCTCATAATTTAATTAAAATAAGCTAAAATTATATTTAAAACATCATACTTTAATCCCAATTAATGGGTATGTAACACCCCCGATTTACTAACTAAAAATAAATAAGAATTAAAGGGAAGTAAACAACCTTTAAATAAAATTTGCGGAAGCATACACTTAAATCGGAGGTATCACCGCCACACTCAACAACTTGTCAAGTGTTAAGGCTTACAAAATCCCAATAATTACAACCCAATAAACTAAGTGAGCTATTTATACAACTTTACAAACTTGTGACATCAGACTAATCGAAACACTTGAGCTCCTTTAGCTACAACCACCTGATCAACCTGTTTAGACAAATTTGACTGCTCACCATTAAGGACAAATTCCAAAATAGATCGTCGCAGGGCCACCATAAGAAAAAGACATGGCCGCAAACACAAGTAGCTCAACAAAACAACACACACGTTAGCAAAAGCTGAGTAATCACCACATATCAGAAAATAGAGTATAATATAATAATTAATATTATTAGCTTACTTAAACAATGTAGTTTAGAACTACATTACACATTGTACTCTGAAAAAAAAATACCTTTATCAACTCAACCTCGAATAATAATTCGAATCTTTACTCAATCAACTCATATAACCCATAAGTGTGTCATGCTCGTTGTTCTATACCTAGCCTTGGACATGGGTAATTCGAATAAAACCAACAAGTATAAAATCTTGAATACTCTCAATAACCAGATAACACCTTGAACCAGACCACATACGGGCCAATTCCCATTGTAGGGGACCATTGAAAAAAAAATATATAAATAAAGATTGTACCTCATTCTTAACTCATGATCATTATCTCATTACCAACATACCAAGGACTAGGTTTATAACGCTGAGCCTCAAACCAAGAACAAAATAAATAATTCTCAACCTTCTGATCTCATACTTGATCAAATTATCCTTCACAAATTAATTTATAATATCTCAATAATGGCACAAGTTCCCAAATAACATAATAATTCAATTCAAAAACATCTCAACTCTTAGGGGAATAATACTAGCACCAAAAAATAATTAACTCACAACCCAAAAATAATGCTCTGCATTAATAACCCTAAAACCTCAATAAAACAATACTCCCTATAGAAACAACATTAAAAACCCTAGAAAAATAACACAATCAATCAATACCACAAAAATAATACGGCAATTAGAATCATATAATACCACACACTAATCATACACATATAAATCATGATCATATATAATTCACAAATTATAAAATTTACACATAACAATATGGAGTACAATTAATACTAACAATTTATAATCAAACAAGTCAAAAAATTAATTAAGGTAGTGTGATTACCGTTCGGTTCAAAAAAAAAAAAAAAAGGCTGCCGAACTTGTGAATTTTGGGTAGCGATCCAAGACATCAGTCACATCACGCATACTGCACTCCAAATTAATAAGCAAAGATACAAAATTTGATCTCATATAGAGTGATAATTGTATACCCATAATTAAAGAGGTGGAAGTGTTTGGTGAATTGATTTTCACGCACCAACAAAATAAACAAAGTCAATAAGAAGTTAAGAACTCATGAAAGCAAAGACACGGATGCACTTTATTATATATTTAGGGTTTTACAATAAAATATATTTAGGAAATTAAAGATAATTTATATACGTTTACATTAAAATAGGTATTAAAATAACTTATTTTTATCTATATATAAAAATTATTGTATAAAATAAAATATTAATCATAAAATATTCGGGTATTACAATCTACCCTCCTTTAAACAAGTTTCGTCCTCGAAACTTAAAATAGAAAAAATTAGGGTATTACAGGGTAATTAAAATTCCTTAAAAAACTTGATTTTAAATGCTCTACTAAAAATTCAGCACTATATTTTAATTAAAACTTGCTGTAATTAAACCTTAAAACACTTTAATCAGAGGTCTAAACCATTATACATCATAACCCTTCAATAATTTACAAATCAAGAACCTAGGGTTTTCAAATTGGGGCTTTTTAATTAAAAACATAATCTGAAAATTAATTAACATAATACTTATAATCAAACATCAAAATCAAATCCCAAAACTTATAATTAACAATCAGATTTAGGCATAATTTAGTTTTTAACATTAAATTTTAATTTATATATATATTCGAAAGGGGGAGAGGGCAGCGGCAGCCACCACGCCGGCTGTCAGCGCCGATGGCTGCCTGCTGTCGGCGGCTAACGCTGCTGGCGGCCACCTGCTGGCGGCCACCTGCTGCCGGTGGTCGGCGGCGGTGGTGATGAAGGGGAGCCAAAAAAAAAGAAAAGGGGAAGGGGAAAAAGAGAAATAAAAATATGGAGAAAGGAGAGAGAAATTTACCCCTTCTCTACAAACCCTTTTTCTCTAACTTTCCTCTTTAAATTTTCCTAATCTCATCCCTAATAAAACTTTACTAAAATAAAACTTTCCTTAAACTAAACCCCAACTAAATTAAATAAATTAATTAAATAAACTTTCCTTTTAGAAATATTTTCAAACTTATTTAAAATAAATAATTAAAATACTTTAAATAAAACAATTCAATTTAATTAAATACTTCTCAAAATACTTAGGAAAAATTACTCCCATTAATCTGAACTTTGCCTCGTCCGCCGAAAATAATCCTAACTTTCGTTTATTATCTATCACTCCCAACTTTAGGGGGTATTAATTTCTATTGCACCCAAATAACTTGCAACCGGTAAAGCAGGTAAACCTTTGTGATTTTTTTTGCACACGTGTCAATATGTAATTGGTTGAGAAAAAAAAAAAAATTTTAAAAAAAAAGAAAAATGTACAAAAAAAAAAAAGAAAAAAAAAATTCAGAACAACCCAGCATCACCCCCACCACACCCACCACCACACGAACACCACTGACGTACATCAAACCACTACCACCGTTGGCCAAAAATGGCCGATATTGGCCACAAATGGCCGATGTTGGGGCTGAATACCCTAAACCGGCCAATTTCGGCCGTTTGTGGTCGATTTCGTTCATAGGCGTCGCCGATTTCGTGGCTGGGTTCCTCGATTTCGAGGGTGGGGAAGGGTTATCGGTGGCTAGGGAAGGGTTATCAAGGGCTGGGGATGGGTTTTCGGGACTGGGGAGGGGTAATCAGGGGTTGGGGAGGGGTTATCGGGGGCTGGGGAGGGGTGTTATCGGGCTGGGGAGGGGTGGGGTTATCGGTAGGGCTGGCAAACAGGTCGGGTCGGGTTCAGGTTGACCTGTTTACATAAACGGGTCAACACCCCCCAACCCGAACCCGACCTCAAAAATATGAACCTGAACCCGATTTGATTTTATACGAGTCGACCTGAACCCGACCTGATTTGACTTGTTTTTTTTTTTTTTTTTTTGTTAAACCTTAGATTGTTCAACCTGGTAATTCCAGAAACCTTTTGTATAATTTTATTCAATCAATAATTAGACAATTACATTTCCAACCAAAATAATAGTATAAACTTGGTGATATTACAAGTATGGCTCAAGTCTAAGTAGGCTTTCTTCTTTAAATTATCTCAACCAGATCTATGTTCATAAACTTCATTCGTTCATCATTTGACTTCTCAAGCTAGTCACCTGTGCATAGAAAAAAAATGCATAATAAGAATTCAAAAATATACCCGAAGAATGACAATCAACCAGATTTTCAAAAGCAAGGAAGTACTAATTTCAGCAAGCAAAAAATGTAGAGAAATCACGAGTTCAAATAAACAATCAACATTTTCAACATTTCATCACAAAATTAAATTGCATAACTATAAAAAGAATAAAATTGATGGGTATATTACCTTGACGAAAGAACGGTGGAGGATTAACGAGCATAGATTGAACAAAATGACATATAATGCGAGGATAATTGACCTTTTAACAAGTGAATTCCCTTTAAAAAAAAAGAAAAAAAAAGTGAATTTCCTTGAATCTGAAAATCTTGATGATAAATATTGAAAACAAAGAGAGGAGAGAGAATGGGTGAAAGCGGCGTGACAAAGAAAATGTAGTAGTTAGGTTTTACTTTCATACTTTGTTTTAGACTTTGGATAGGTTGGGCTTTGGCCCATAATTGCAAATAAAAGGCCAAATATCATTTAAACTAATTGGGTTAAACGGGTTGGGTTCAGGTTGACCCGACCTGAAACTGACCCAATTAGTTAAACGGGTTAAGGCGGATTATTTTCGGGTTGGGATTTTCAACCTGAACCTGACCCGTTTATTTTCAGGTCGGGTTCGGGTTGACCCAATTACTTAAACGGGTTGAAAATCTCACTCAAAATCCATTTATTTCGGGTTGGGTTAGGGTCGGGTTGTCGGGTTGGGTCAGCTTTTGCCAACCCTAGTTATCGAGGGTGGGGGAAGGGAAGGGGTGGCTGGGCGGCGGTTTCCGGTAGCGGGGGAGGGGTTTTCGGGGAAGGGGCGGTTTTTCCGGCGGGGTAGGGGGTGGGGGTGTGGTGTTTTCCGGGATAAGGTGGGGGGCTGGGTATTTTTCCTTTTTTTTGTTTTTTTTGGACCTATCACGTGTTGACACGTGTCTAGGTAACCTGCTACATCATGTTAGATGACCTGTTGGGTGCAACAAAAATTAATACCCCCTAAAGTTGGGAGTGATAGATAATAAATGAAAGTTGGGATTATTTTCGGCGGACGAGGAAAAATTCAAATTAATGGGAGCAATTTTTCCAAATACTTATTTTAATTAAAATACGTTTAAAAATACGAGGTATTATACCCAGCACCAACGACCCCCGAACCCACCAACCACCGTACCAACCCCGACGAGCCTAGAAACCACCGAACCCAGCCACGACCATCAATCCAGCACACCGAAACCACCAACCCAGCCACGGCCACCAACCCACCACACCGACACAACCAACCCAGCAAACTAAAACCACCAACCCAGCACACCGTAACCACCAACCTAGCACACCGAATCAACCAACACCGAAACCACCAACACCAACCCACCGATTTGAAACCTACGAGGCCACAGATCTTAAACCACGACGCCGCCGATCTTAAACCATGAGGAAGGAGAGGAGAGAGAAACCGCCGATTCACGCTCAATAACTCTTCGCCGTCAAACTCTGGAACTCGCCAAAAATCGCCGCTGAAATGAAGGAAATCGTGTCAATTGTTGACACGATAAGGCGACAAATTGAAGGAGGAAAGAGAAAAAAATGGGGACGAGGAAGAAGTAGAAATTTGATGAATAATGGTGATGAGGAGGAAGATGAAGGAGGGTGAAGGTGGCTGGAATTGCCCTAAAGGTGGTTGATTAAATGGAAAGGGGTTGATTTTGGTGAAAATAGTTAATTAATGTTAGGGTTTAAGCTAATTAGATAAAACCAGTTTTTTAATTGGGGTGTTTCAAAAAAAATAAGGGTAAAATGGTAATTTTACTACTAAAAAGTTACTAAAAAAAGGAAAGAAATGAGAAAGTTGCAAGTACTGTGGACCGGCCAAAAAAAAAAAAACAGTTGCAAGTAATTTGGACCAGAGGTAGTATATAACATCCGTATCGATCCAAAGTGGAATCCCGATTCGACTAACTCTAAATCTCGAACCACCACGGTAATATAGCATAATCAACATACGTGTCCAAGAGAAATGGAACAAATATTTAAAAATAGAGGGAGTATTAAACAAGTAAAGAATATGTAGAACATTACAATTTTATGTATACAATATAATTCCAAAGGGAAAATACAAGTTAATCTGCTAGATAAACAAATTTTTGTTAATCTGATGGCATTTTTGTAAATATATTGAAAAAGCAGAGTCATTTATTCAGTACTTTTGGTGAGCTATCTAATTACTGTTTGCCTTTTGTTTTTATTATTTGGTTAGAAAATTACACATGTACCCCTCAACTAGTACATGAAAATCTGGGGAATTGACTGAGTATCCCTCAATTTCAAATATTCCAGTCGATTTTAAGTAAAATCCTGATTCCAATAAAATAACTCCAATCACTACAGTAACCAACTTATAAAGTCAAAGACGAATGAGAATCAAACCCCACAGTTTCCCCTAAGCTCCCACTTGATTAAGACGGTGTAGATAATAATAAAAAACGATCTCAAATTGAGTCAATTTTTTAACCCGTCTCCCTTTCGGTCCGCGGTCGTACTACACGGAGGGAATCCCGTCCTTTTGGACAAACACGACCTAAACAAAAACAAAACCAAACGAAGCAAAAAGAGCAAGATTGCGAAGGTGGACGAGGCAGGCGCGAAAAGAGAGAAAGAAATTGAGCAGAGGACTCGTGTAGGCTTAACGCACACGATGCGTGGCTTCTATTGACAGCAAAAATGGCGACAACATTCAACACTCGTCTTCTCTTTTCATTCTCATTTTTGTCCTAAAATGGACATCTTACACTATAACTTCAACAATTACACAAATTCTTTATTCTTTTTATTTTAATCCCCAAATAAAACCCTAATTTCCATACTTCAACAATCTTTTATTCAATCTTACATTGCTTTTTCAGGTATGATCTTCCATCTTTGTTGTGTTCTTACATATATTTATTGCATTTTATATATACATTGTTTAATTACATATTTTTTTCCGTATTTTTCTTCAGTTTTTTGTGTATATTTTTCAATTTTGATGATCCTGAATCAAGTATATGATTGTTGTTTCAATATTTCGAGCTCTTCTGATTTTCATAAGAATTTATTTGATTTTTTTTTGGAATTTTTTTGAATTTTTTACACTTGATATAGAGATGTTATGAATTTGATCTCCTTTCTTTTTAATTTTCCTTGATTAATTGGATTTGAGAAATTTTTGTTAATATATTTTTTTCAGTTTTGGTGTAAAAAATGGCGGAAATGAATAAAGTACTGTATATAGTAGTTATGGACGGAGATCACAATAAAGCTGAGAAAGGGGAAATGGAGAAGGAGTCGTTTCGATATACTCGATCTGTTTTGCAGAGTACTTTGCAGCTCATGGGATGCAAAGCTCGCCATGCTTTTAAGGTAGTTTTAGTTTATTGTTTTCGTTTCGAGTTTAGTCGATTTTTTTGCTTAATTACTTTTGTTTTATGGTACTTTACTTTTAGCTTTTGTTAAGGTAACAAAGTGAAGTTTGATTTCATTTTTGGATTTGATTGCTAGTTGTTTTTTTTGGAAGGGTATGATTTCGTGTACGAGAATGTTGTTAGGTTGTGTTTTCGCGGTTGTTTCGTATAGGGAAAGTTATTGATTGGCTGATATTTGAGTATCTGATGCTGATTGAATTTTGTAGAACTGTACTGCATTTAGAAATTTACAAGGATGTGGCTGAGAAAAAGAAAGTGCGGGAAAGATTCGAACTTTTGGCTTTTGAATTATAAGCTGGAGTTGCTTTTATATTGCTTGGCTGGAAATCAAAGTTCCTTTGATTGGATGAATTTTTGTAGTTTCTTTACTTTTCAGCAGACATTTGTAGTTGGCCATGCGTTTTTTTTTGTGGAGTTTCAACTTGCAACTTTGGAAGTACTGTACGGGTGACAGAGTACATGCTTCAAAATTAACCTTAATAATTGGCTGGCACTTGTATTATTGCATGATATTGAAACTGATCATGAAGTTTTTATCATAATTATTTGTTTTTTGTGTTATTGAGAGGAATCTTAGAACAGACTTGTCTTACTTCATAATCATAATCAATGTTACCTAATTGGCTGAACTCCCTGCGAATTGCAAATTGAGATAAGCTTATTGTGGTCAGTTTTGGGCTATATGTTTGGGTGAATTGCGAATTCAAAAGGAATTAGGGTAATACTGACCATGATCAGCCGATTTTGGACCGTTGAGTTTCATTGTCATGTTGGTGTAATTTAGTTTTGGAATGAATCATATATGGGTGGTTCCTAGTGCTAATGAATCATCTCTTTCATATAGATATAACTTGTCCACATTTTCCTCAATATCTTTTTTTAATAAACTGACTTCACTGTTCACAGTTTCTTGAAAAATCAATGTAACTTGTGATGCTATCTCTATCTTCATTTGAATATGATGGAGTTTGCATCATTGCTAACAGTTTAGACTAATGTTGATTGTAGTAAAATGATCTTGCTGAACCCGTGTAGGTAAATTTTTTGTTAGCATGAACTACCCCAATCGTTTTTAATGTAACACATATCTCTGTTTTTTTTTTCTTGGTCGTATGTCAGAATGTTATTTAAAATGCTAAAAAATTTGTCTATTGTTTAGATTAGCAGAAGGGTTTTTGAAATGGTGAAAAGTCAATGCTCAAGTGACAGATCAGCTGGCATGGGTCAATTTGGAGCTGATACAACTTATATAAGATCAAGGTTTCAAGAACCTCCATCTCTTGGCAATCGTCTGGGTGAAGCTCAAGTGAAGAATAACTTAGTTATGGAGAAGGATGGTGGACCTAAAAGTTTGTCATCAGAGTTGTACAAACGGCGCACGACAGTGTTCATTGGTAGAGACAAATTCTTGGATATTGTCTGTGATGGCCTATCTGAGTATAAATATGTGGGTCCCAATCAACGTGAAGATTTGATTTTGGCTTGCAGGTATACATAATTTTTTTTTTTGGTTAAAAAAAAGCTATTTTGTTGACAATTTGTTTTTCCTCATAAAGCCACAATAGCCTTTGTTACATCTGGATTATGTGTAAGTTGGGCGAGGTTCAAGTATCTTTTGTTACCAAGCAACATACTGAAATTTCTTTTTGCATACTGAGCAAGTCTCACATTTTATTTATCCATAGTACTTAGCTACTTGTGATGGTTTCTAATTTACTGGGCTGGTCTGTCTCTTATGGATGAGTTAATTAGTTGCTGGTTGTAGATTTTTTACATATTATGATTTGTCTTCAATGCTTGCTTTCATGTTTGATATATCTGTTGTGGCTGCTTCTTAAACTTCTCTTTGGTTAGATGGAATCACTAGGAGAGACACTGAGGGGGAAACCCCCTCACCAGACTTGAACCTGTGTCTCACATGGCTCCTTGGGGGAAAACACTTGAATTTCACTCGAGTCTTATTAATTAGTGCTGTAAAACGTATGTTCTTATGTAAGTTGGAAAAGATTGTTTTCCTTTTTTGTTCTGGTAGAACAGTTCATCATCATGAAATATCGAAATCTGTAGAAAACCAGTGCACCTGATTGGCATATGGGCCAATGTTAGTACGGTGTGAAAATACTAATCATTATGATTTATTTATGCATCAAGTTACTGTCATCCAATGATGTTGTCTTTGATTGTATTGTCTTATACTTCCATACTATCCATAGTTCCATGTAATATTGTTTTTCTTCTTAGATGTTGATAGTATAGCTATTTTGAGATTTAGTTAGGGATAGCATGATGATGATTGTCATAAATAAACTATCTCTATATAATAATGCTTCCTTCTATCTCTAACTTCTAATACTTTAGCAATTATGTTTATTGCCGAGTGTTTAGCACCAAAAGGAGACTTCAAGGCCAGCCAACATTAAGGATTCAAATGTCAAACTCTTAGAAACGTATGTGAACTTTAAAAATCTTGTATGAATAGGAATAGTGTGTTCCATCTCAAGGTTCCCAGGCTTTCAGCCCTGAAGAGTTTTGGATTTCAAAAAAGGTTCTTTTAACATGTACGGTTCGATACTATTGTGGAATCTCTTACTTAGTGTTATTGATTCAATATTCTTTACCACTAGTGAGACACATTTATGCAACTTTAGTAATTTAGTATTGCTCTTAAATCATATATCTTGTAGCTGTAAGCTATACATTTTGGGGTGAATTACAATCAAGATTCAAGTATAGTTCACTTGGAAGATTTTTGAGTGTGAGTGTATGCAAGCCTTGGGATGCATCTTTTGCTTCCTATTGCTTAGTAGACAAGAGTTTTTGTTTTTGTTTTTTAACTCTTTTTGAAGTGTTGTTTGTTTCTGGGCTTTCTGATTCTTGAGATGCAATCATGTTTGCATTATCACCTGTTTAATTGATTCACCCTTTTCATTTCTTTGAATCACATTGCTGAAAGTGATATGTGTTGATTGTAGAATCCGTGAGAGGAAGGAATCTATGACCATCTTGTTGTGTGGAACTAGTGGCTGTGGCAAATCTACACTGTCATCCTTGCTGGTATGTACACATTATTTATTTAATATCAGCTACAAGAATGCAATATTTTTTTGCTAGTTTGGGTGTATTGATCCAGCTTCTTGTCTTCTCTCTTGGTTCACTTATGGTTTTTTTTTTTTTTTTTTTTTTTTTTTGACGGGACACTTATGAGTTGTTATATATTGTAGTTTGATAGATCAATTTGTTTGCTGTGAAATTATTGGTTGTTTGAGTTCTCTACTGTAATTTCCTGGAGATTTCATTATGCAATCATGTAAAGATTTATGGCATTGAGCATCCACTATGTCACCTCTGTCTGCATGTTCTTTCACCATACTGTCCTAACCTGATGCCTGTATACAGGACTTCTTTTTAAAACGAAATCTGTGAGCGGAATAGATTTGTTATGATGGGAACCTTTATATATGCTACTTGTTATACATCGTTTTTGTTGTTGAAGCTTAATTTCATTATTTGATTATCAATTTATGTTGGGTTACTTCAGAACCTATTGTTCTCTGTTTTAAATCAACCTCAAAGTTATTTCTTTCTCATGTTTATAGGGAAGCAGATTGGGAATCACTACTGTTATATCAACAGATTCCATACGGCATATGATGAGGAGTTTCGCTGACGAAAAACAAAATCCTTTGCTGTGGGCATCAACCTATCATGCAGGAGAGTGTTTGGATCCTGTTGCTGTTGCAGAAGCAAAAGCTAAAAGGAAGGCCAAGAAAAAGGATGGGAGTACTCAACCATTTTTGAAAGATGGTTTGAATGATAATGTTCAAAATGGAACTGATCATCAAACGCCAGAGGTGGGTGCAAATAATACTGAGCTGATCAGTCCAAAACAAATGGCAGTTGAGGGATTTAAGGCTCAGAGTGAAATGGTCATAGAGAGTCTTGATCGGCTGGTCACTGCTTGGGAAGAACGGAAAGAATCAGTCATTGTTGAAGGGGTACACTTGAGTCTTAACTTTGTGGTGAGTAGATGTATTATTTGTTCTCAAAATGAATAATTACCTTGTTCAACTTTAAGGTTCTGATATTGTCTTGCCTTGTTTGGCAGATGGGGCTTATGAAAAAGCATCCTTCAATCATACCGTTCATGATATACATTACTAATGAAGATAAACATTTGGAAAGGTTTGCGGTGCGTGCAAAGTACATGACCCTGGATCCTACAAAAAATAAATACGTTAAATATATTAGAAACATTAGAACAATACAAGAATACCTATGCAATCGAGCTGACAAACATCTTGTCCCTAAGATAAACAATACTAATGTAGACAAAAGTGTAGCAGCAATCCATGCCACAGTTTTCAACTGTTTACGAAGGCGTGAGGGTGGAGAGCAGCTGTATGACCCTACAACTAACACTGTAAATGCTGTTTTAGAGGAATTTAGGAATCAGTGTGCGGCAGATTCGCTGAGCTCTAAAGGGATGTTTCAACTTATTCAGAGGCAGGGATCATCAAGACATCTGATGGCTCTTCTAAACGATGATGGCTCTGTAGCTAAGGCTTGGCCAGTAAATTCTGTTGGCAGCAATGGCAATCCTAGTAAGGGGCATGGTGCTGACACTGAGATAGGAACACCTATGTATGGTCCGCTGCAAATTGGTAAGGCAGAACCAGTAAATCTTCAGTTCGGTCATTTTGGTTTAAGTGCTTGGCCCAATGATACTGGCTGCACGAGCCATGCCAGCAGTGTTGATGAGTCTAAGGCTGAGTGGAATGGTACTGATACTGGGAGTAAATATTACTCTTCCTGCTGCAGCTCACCCCGTATGTCTGATGGGCCTGCTAAGGAGGTAAGTCTTTATGTTCATTCAGATTTCTAATTTGAACTTTTTTTCCCTGTACATCCTTTTGATTTCATTAGTATGCAAGCCTCACATTTAATGAAAAATGCGAAGTACCAAGTGTTTTATTTTGTGCACCAAGCTTTGTTTGAAACTCAATTGTTTTACAGCTAAAGGAAGAGCTCTCAGTCTCTGGCAGTGATGAAGAGGTAGATGATCCACCCGAGATGGATAGCGATGAGGACCTGAGTGATGGTGAAAAACATACTCAAGAAGAGGTAATATATTTTGTAATGTTATTAGGAACAAATGATTGTTGTTTTCCTCATGTAGTAGCTATTTATACGTTTTATTACTGTTTGACCACCAAAGTTATGTAAATCTGTGTTGATGTCTCAGTCTTCAAGTTCTGGAAATAAATTATGCCATTGGTGCTTAATGGAAATGTGGATTTCCTACTGTTTGGTCGATTCCACCATTGAGCTTGAAGGAATGCAAAACTAACGGCAATATTTGTTTCTTTTCAGATGGAAGGTTCAGTTGATGAGGGATCCACCAAGTCAGATGAAGAGTATGATGATCTAGCAATGCAGGATGACCAAGAATATGGCTCTGTGTTGAGCAATCTGTCAGATGTGGTAAATAATAACAAGATGAGGGACAACTACAAGTATCCACCAACTCTTGACATGTTCTTGAGGACTAAAAGTGAACCTTTGTCTGATGCATTCTGCCCATACCCTCCCGTGTTTGCTAAGAGTGATAAGAAGACTCCTCCAAGCAGTAGTAGGCTGAAGAAACACTCCCTCAGTATTCCGGCTTTTGGAAAGCATGGGAAGGCTGCAGATGCCATAATTTCTGGAGCAGCGGACTAGTAGTGCAACAATTAACCGTTTAACCTTGCTATTTTAATTACTTATCCTCTTTTAGAACCCTTCCCCTTTTTCTGGTTGAAGGCATGTTGTTTTCTCAACTGGCGGTTTTTTTTTTTTCCTCTCTTTTCTTTTGCTAGGGTTATGTAGATCTGTATTTTATCTGTTGATGTCCTCCCTTAGTCCCTTGATTTGTATAGTGAGGGCTGTTGTAATCTTAGACCATTTAATTTGCTGTTTTTGGCTGTCAATAATTATAGGTCTGTAGGTGTAACTCTATTAGATGTTAGTTTTCTGAAATTGCTGTATCTCAATAATAAAGTTTCATTTCTGCAATATATCTGCTTGCTTACATTTACCTGTAAATATTTTCTATCTTGATAATTTGATATGGACTTGATTCTAATTACTGATTCTTTAATTGGGGTTGAATCAACTTAGATTTTGAATGAAATAAAGATCAAAATACAATTTTATTAGCCAAAGTAACACAAGGGAGAAATATAGAGGTTGGGATAAAATTTATTAACAAATTCTCTGATATGAAATAAAATTGCATAATATACAACACTTGATGTACTTGTAACAAACCTAAACTTAAGAAAGAACTGAAGATAAAAAAAAACACACTAGAAAATTATGATGCTTCTATGATACCTGTGTATCACGCAATTTCAACCTTGATCTTTGGGTGCAATGCTGAGTTTATCATTGCTGCCATCCTTGTGAGGTATCAAGAAACAACACTTTCAGCAAATAATTACGGTATTTGCATACAACATGCACACAGGACAGACACCAGGGTTTTGTAGACTTAATCACAAGCACAACAAAGGTCTTGATTGAAGTCTAAATGAATAGCTCCACTATATTTTATATGGCTCATCACAAGCATCAAATCTTGGATATAGTGGTATGTAATGCCTGTGTATTCTTTACACACAAGGCCCTAAACCACATGACATTTTGCACATTAAACACAAGATTGCACAAGGGGGCTATGCTTATTGTTTTATTGCTTCAGCCAGGTTTCATTAGTTTGAAAGGCACAGAAATGGTTAAAAAAAAAATTGACAGCTACACAAAAGATTCCTTCAAGGAGCTGAAAGTTTAACAGAGACGGAGACTGATGGTGTTTATAGGTCCATTGTCCATACACATTGGTCATCCATCTATGCACATCCTCTCGAAAAGCTGCTGCCCAAATCCTATTTGTTTATCACAACTTGATTCATTAGAGTATCAACCCATTTTGTCAACACAACCAGAGGTTCTCCTGAAATGCCAAGTCTAACATTGTCCATTCCTGAGATGTCCCAATTAAAAACTTCAGCAGGACCAAAAGAGCTGCAAGAAAATCGACTATTTCAGGATGTTGCTATAGTCTGACGGCTCTGATAAATTATCCCTCTTTAGACCTATAGAACTCAGACATGAGTGTTGGATCATTGCTCTAAGGCTCTGCCTTCTGCAATGTTAATCATGCTATAAGTACAAAATCTGCGCCCATCCTTTCCTTGATCTCCTCATTTCCAGCTCTTCACATAAGACTATAATTATCATCATCATATTGACTAAGCTTGGGGTTCAGAATGGAGTTCTGGCATGATTAATCTTGCTCGGGGTGGAACTTCTTTATTTTATTAGACACTTTAATTCTTCAAGTTCTTCCATCATCCCAGCTTTTTTGTATCCATCAACTAAATCAATCCACATAGAACCATCAACCTCACCTCCCTTGCTTAGCACCTCATTCACCAACTCCTTTACCTGACCCATCTCTCCAATCTTGCACATACCACTGATCAAACACTGATATATACCATCACTGGGGGCAATTTCCTTCTCTTGCATTGTTCTAAGTAATGAAAAACCATTGCTTGTATCTCCCAATCTACAATAGCCTCTAATGACCATATAGTACAAATATGTCTCCATCTCGAAACCTTTATCTTGCATCTCCAAAAGCAACTTCTTTGCTTCATCAACCTTACCATAACCCGAATACCCATCAATCAAAAGCTTATAAGTCGTATCATTAAACATAATTCCTTCTCGTTCCATCAAACACAACACTAAATCCAACTCCGCGAATTCCCACATTCTTGAACATGCATCCACTAAAGTATTAAATGTTATAACATTAGGTTTAACCCCCTTCCCAACCATTTCTTCCACCAATTCTCTACCCATTTTCAACTCCCCAATCCCACACAATCCACTCACAACAATTGTCAATGAAAACACGGAAACCTCCATGCCTGAATCCACCATTCGACGAAAAAACTCCAAACCTAAATCAACCTTATCAGCCTTAACTAAAGCATATAAATGAACAGAACAAGTTCTCTCATCCCTCTCAACTTCTCTCTCCACCATGTACTCAAAGGCAGTAACAGCCATATCAAACATATGATGATCAGAATACAATTTAAGCAACATATTCAACAATTTGGTAATAATTCTAGATTCCTTGCAATAATTCTCAACCCAATTTGTAAAATCACTAAAAGGGTACCTGTATTTCGCACCAATAATGAATTTCTGCAACAAAACCTCAGCATCCGAGTACAACATAGATTTAATTAACCTGCAAATTATGGTAAAATGGGCATGAATATCAGGCTTGAATGAAAGCTCTGATTGATTATGGAGTACAATGTTGAAGATTCTCAAGCAATCAATAGTTTTTACAAATGGGTCTGAGAGAAAAGAGTAAAGTTGATGAGAGGAGAGAGAAGAAAGGAAAGAAGAAATGGTGGTTTGGGGAGATGGGGTTGTTTCTGAAGAGGAAGAAATGGTGTTGAAAGATGAATTGATGAGGATTTTAATGGGGGTTTGTTCATGGTGTAGGGATGAAGAAATGGTGGATGGAATTGCTCTTTTTGCAGTTTTCAGGGTTTTCAGGAAATCTTGGGTTGTCATTTTGATGTTCAGAAATGGAGATTTTGTGGGGATGAAGATGAAATGCTAAAATGAGGGTTCATTAATGGCGGATTGGCTGATTATAGTGAGCGCTTCAGCGGTTCTTCACTTCTTTGGTCGCACAAGAGTCAGTCTTTGAATGGTTAAGTGACTTAAGTTGGGTCATTGAGTCGGATTTGGGATCGGTTATACTAGTATATCGATTTCGGGTTATTTGGATTTGGATTTAGACTCAGTTACTATAATCGTATTGAGTGTTAAGTTTTCTCAACAGCTAGAAGTTAAGTGATCGAAATAATTAATAATAATGATATATAGTTAGTCACCTCAAATCACATAAAAGTTACCCCTTATACTTTTGGGAAATTAGAGTCATTAAAGTTCATAATATACGGAGTAATAAACTAGTATATTAAATTTGTATCATATCACATGAAAAACCCTTACATTTTCCTTAATATAAAAGTCCTCTCTGTAAATATGTTGAGACACCTTTTTCACTAACCATGTTAGTTGCTTTGAACTAGACTCACATTAAGCTAATTTTTGAGTGTCTCCACAATGGATTAAGGAATTATATCCGTATTTCATTTCTATTAGAAAACCAATCCTTGAGGGCTTGAATTTACATTTGAGGGTGCACACCTGTCAAAGAAAAAAAGAAAGGTACATAATAACAGATGCTTAACACAACCAACTTGAAAAGTCAATTTGTATAGGTAACACTTCTAGATGACCTAACAAGCCAAACAAATCAGCTGTAAACCGAAAGGCTGACAAGCGATTGCCAAACAACCCCATTATGTTCGACACTGGATAAAGCAAGAATAAACTAGATGGAGGCCTAACTATTAAAGGTAGTACTGGGCTAAAACTTATTGAGCTTGCGGCAGCTTGTTTAGGCAAGATTATGAGCATCTTCGACCTTTTACCTATGTTCCTTGCGTATGATATCAAACAAGGTAATATTATCAGGTTTAACAGCTTCAAATTCGACAAATTTAGATGAAATCAACCATACCCAATTATAGGGATCCACGGATTACTGTATACAACCAGGTATACAAGTACTGTTTCCAAACGAGTGAGAGAGACGCCGACGTGGTGCCGGATTAGGCAACTATATCTTCGTCGCCGATCATCTTTAGGTTCGGTCTTCTCAATTTTTTGGATTCTCTCACCACGAAACCACCAATCCAGAAAAGTAAGAACACGGCGTTAACTATCAAGTTACGTTCCTACCATTATAGAATTTAATATAAAACGGGGTCCAAATAACATATCCAACATGTTTATATTACTTTACAGACTAGAAAGTCACGTGTTTGGTTTATAACAGTTATCAATGGGGACTGCCTCCTAAATTGCTTCAAGACAAGCAACAGATTCTGCTTGAAGGGTTGTACTTGATATCTCGTAAGAGCACCCTTTAAGATATCCAACCCGAAATTTAATACTTGCACCATTTAGAAATTTACGCCATTCATACATTCTCCTTTCCTATGGTTAATACATTATGAAAAACATGCTCATATGAGATCATATTAGATTCTCGGTTATACATTTTAAAAAATTAACTAGTGAGAGAAAGTCTTTAGTGAGAGATACTCTCAAAGTTTTTCTTCACTTGCTTTAACTTAAGTTCTTTCTGGGTAGTTCTTCTTCAGCTCTTAGCAAAGTGTTAACTACGTCTCGTTATATCCATCCTACTACGTTTGTTTATCCTTACTACATAGGTAAGAATTTTGAACCTCTCCCTACCCTAGAAGATGAGGCGCCTATTAACTGGGATTGTTGTGTTATTGGGCGTGTTTGGGATGCTAGGAACTTTTCATTATCTTTGTATCAGAGGTTGGTCGCCCGTTTCTGGCATCTTCGTGCTCCGGTCACAGTCTTCAACTATGTTCAGGAATTAATTTTCAGTTGCGAAACTACAGAGGATGTGGATGATTTGGAAGATAGGGGTGGGTTCATTTTAAAGGAAGTTTAGTTGTGTTACAAAGGCTTCCGCAACATGCAGTTCCAATGAATTTAAATCTTCATCTTGCTGAATTATGGGTGGGCGTGGTGGGCCTTCCATTTCGTTACTCTACTCCTCAAGTTGCGGCGGTCGTGTTAGCTCATGTGGGTGATGTAACTAATGTTGATGAAAGTCATGGTCAGTTTCCTGTCCCTTGTCCTAGAGTTAAAATATTAGTTGATCTTTCATTGCCTTTGATTGCTGGTTGTTATTTTCCCACGTACGACAATCATGTCACCCATACGAGGGTATCTTTAGATTTTGCAGAAAGTGTGGTTTTGTCGGACACGGTTCTACCTCGTGTGAAAAGAATCATGATTGGAACGTCGTTATCGTAGAGTCCACGACAATGGTGGCAGTGTTCTTTTTGGGCCCACGGATCTTGATCTATATTCAGATTCGCTTCGCGGCATCTGCCCTTCTCCAGATTCTTGGCATACAGAGTTATGGTTTGGTGTCCATGATGATGATGATCCTTCGGAATATGGAGCGGATTCTCATCCTTCAGACTATGGGGATGACGGTGCGAATACTCACTTGGTTTCGCTGGATACGTCGTCTGATTCGGCCGGGGATTCGACCACTCCGAGGTCGGTGGCTAGTATTTCGGGGCTTTTTCCTCCTCCTTCGCCTACTGCTTTCCGGTCAGCTGATAATGAGGTATTAAGCATGGATTTGGGGCCTAATAGAGCAATTAGGGAGTAATTTGAGATTGTTAATCATGAGGCCAGGCGTGCACCACGTGTAAACCATGCAGATCATCAACATTCTTGGCAATACATGGGAGGTGGCAACATGACACTCCACGTGTCCATGGTTTGGATGGGAGAAGGTTCAGTTCGAGCTTTGTCTTCTCCTTCCCCTTCGTTATCGTGTGATTTTCAGACTACTCCTACTGCAGATTCTGGGTATAATGCTGATACATCCTCGAGGACTTTTTCTTTCTCTTCATCTGTGCAACAAGCTGAAGAGCCGGTGCCATTGGAAGATATAACCACAGATGAGGAGATTCTGAATGAGGTTGTTCCAATGGAGTGCTCGCCACCGGTGTCGAAATCTTCACCTGAATCTGGTTCGACTTCAGCTATTCCGTCTGCTCCTTGGTCGTTGGTTGATAATACAATAGTCAGACCAGTGGCGGAGGGTGCTCGATGTTCTTGTTCTCTAATCAAGGGGAAAGTTAAAATGTTTATTAGATGGGTGAAACAGGTTGGTAGAGTTTGTCCTGCGAAGAGGGAAGCTACTGATGTGTTACCTTCGGCTCCTCCGCTGCCAGATTCTAAAGTGGGAGATTCTGCTTCAGGTTGCTTGCCCTGTTTACTTCCGTTCAAGGAACGTAAGGGTTTGGATGGGTCGGACTCTTCTGCTGGTTCCTCTGTTATGGGTTCGGTGGCTCCCCTCTCTGAGTCACCAATGATGAAATGAAGATTGGTGCTTGGAACTGTAGGGGCATTACTCAAGAGGACTCCCCTAAGGTTCCATATCTTTTGTCTCTAGTCCGCACTTATGCTTTAGATGTTTGTTTTTTAATGGAAACTATCCTTCATGTTGATAGAGTGGTACATAGGATAGCATCTATTCCTTTTTTGGGTAGTTGTGGTTTAGATGCTATTGGTTTGAGTGGTGGGTTGGTTGTTTTTTGGTTGGCCCCGGTTCTGGTAGAACCATTGTATATATCTCCAAACTATGTAGCTTGTAAAATTTCAGTTGGTGATGAAATAAAATTTGTAGTGTTTGTGTATGGTGCGCCTCATTTGGCTGATCGGATGGCGTTTGGTCTTCCATTGCTAATTTTGTTAGAGATCACCTCTAGTACTTTATTAATAGGTGATTTTAATCAAGTTGAATATATTTCTGATAAAGTAGGGGGTTCGGCAACTATTCCTGGGTGTTTAGATTTTATTCAATGGCGTATGGATTTAGGACTTATTGATGTTCCTTTTAGTGGGTCTTCTTATACTTGGACAAATGAACGTATTGATATGGATCCAACTTTTGAACGTCTAGACCGGGCTTATGCCACCTCTGATTGGTTTCTCTCCTACCCAGATTCACTTATTATGCATCAGCCGATCCTTTTCTCAGATCATGCAGCCATTATTTTCACTGATACAATTGATAGGTCTGTTATTCGCCGGCCTTATAGGATTGAAAATTGGTGTCTGGAGGCAAAAGAGGTTGTGGAACTGATTTCTGCTACTTGCCTTGTCCATTTTTCAGGCTCACCCCAGTTTGATTTATCCCGCTGCCTGTCGGTTATTCGGGATAAACTTCGATCCTGGTGCCTTTCTCATAGGAAATCTTGGGGAATTAATTGGAGGAAATTTTGTCATGATATTTCTGCTAATTCAATGTCTTTAGATTCCCCCTTAGCTCGGTGTCTCTTTATCACTGCCCGTAATGAGAAAATGGAGGAAGCCCAAACAGCTTATTTGTAATAGCGCCAACGTGCGAAGGTCAGATGGGATGCGTTAGGGGAATCGGGATCAAAACTGTTGTTTTCGGTGGTCCAGGCAAGGAAACGTCGAAATTTGATACATAGTCTTAAGGATGACTCAAGGGCTTGGATTTCGGATAGGGAAGAAGTACGGGCTATGATTCTGAAATTCTATTCTGATTTGTATACCCCTATTGAGGTTCCGGGTGATTTAGGTGATATTCATTGGGATACATTAGAACTTCCAGTCCTTTCTTCCGTTCAACAGGCTGCCTTAATGTGTCCATTTTCAGATGTGGAAATTAGAAACGCAATATTCGCTATTGCTGATGATAAGTCCCCGGGGCCGGATGGGTTTTCTTCTGCATTTTTTAAAACCCATTGGCCTCAGCTAGGGGTTCAAGTCATTTCGGCGGTTCAATATTTTTTTGCTCATGGTTATATGTTGAAAGATTGGAATAGGACCTTCCTGGTGTTACTTCCTAAGGTTTCTCAACCAGACATTGTGTCTCAATTTCGGCCTATTGGCTTATGCAATGTGATGTATAAGTCTATGGCCAAATGCATAACGGGTCGTCTACGTCTAGTTCTTCCATCTTTGGTGTCGGGGTTTCAAAATGCCTTTGTCCTGGGCCGTTTACTGTCGGATAATGCTTTGATGGCTCATGAAGTGCTTTCTTATATGAACTCTTCAAGAGCTCGCAAAACTTTCTATGCAGCTCTTAAATTGGATATGAACAAAGCTTATGATAGAGTGCGCTGGGATTTTCTGCTCCGGGTTCTCCGCGGTTTTGGTTCTCCGCCCTACTGGATTCATATTATTGAGCAATGTGTTACCACGGTTTCTTATCAAGTCTTGGTTATTGGTTCTCTTACTTCTGCCTTGGTTCCGAAATGTGGTCTCAGGCAAGGTGATCCTTTATCTCCGTATCTTTTTGTGCTATGTATGGAAGTTTTATCTGCCATGCTATGCAGAGCAAAGAAACAAGGTTTGGTGTCAGGCATTCGGATAGCTAGGGGAAGTCCTTCTATTTCGCATTTATTTTTTGCGGACGATTCTCTCTTGTTCTTTAAGGTTTCGCCGCAAACCTGTGATAATATAATGGGACTTCTTATCTCTTTCTGTGCAGAGTCAGGACAGATGATTAATTTGCATAAGTCATTTGTTAAGTTCAGTCCGAATACTCCCAAAGATTATAAGGAGGCCTTAGGTCGTAGTTTACGACTTCGGGTGGCCCCTTCCTTTGGTTCTTATCTGGGGCTTCCAGTGGATTTAGGGAGAAGTAAGGTGACTGATTTCGGATTTTTGATCGATAAGGTGGCTGCTCGCTTGGCATCTTTTGCCTCTCTTCGATTGTCGGCAGCAACAAAGTTGATTATTATTAACTCGATATTGGTTGCATCCTTTAATCATGTTCTCTCGGTGTTCAAGATTTCGTCGACTATTTGTTCTCATATCGATAATTTGCTTGCTCGGTTTTGGTGGCGATCTTCGGTGGATTCTAAAGGCTTGGCTCTGCGTTCAGCGTCTTTGCTCCATTTACCGAAGGGCCTAGGTGGTCTTGGGATTCGTAATATAGGGTGCTTTAATTCGGCGCTTTTGGCTCGTCAAGGTGACAGAATGACTCACAACCCCCAGCTCTTGGTGTCACGCCTCCTATTCTCCAAGTATCTGACTCTCCGGTCTCGCCCGGAGCTTCGGATTCTTCGTTCTTCCTGGGGTTGTCGTAGTCTTCAGGTGGGCTTCTCAACGTTGGCTTCAGGAGCTATGTGGAAGGTCAGGTGTGGTTCCCAGGTTAGAATTCTGGCTGACACTTGGGTACCGAATGGCCCTCTTACTCTTAGGGAGGGTGTTTCCGAGTCGGATCTTCCGACTCATGTTTCTTCACTTATTGATCCGCGTTCAAACGCGTGGGATACGGTTAAGGTCCATCGCCTGTTTGATGCTGCTACGGCCATCAGGATTTTAGCGCTTGAAAGGCCTTCTCAGCCAATGGATGATTTTGTTTACTGGAAGCATACTAGAGATGGGATCTTTTCGACTAAATCGGCTTATACTTCTTTGGTTTGTGCTACTTCTCATCGTTCGGGGACGGATCTTGTGCTTCCCCAGTGGTGGCATAGGTTTTGGGGTCTTCCGCTCCTCCCGAAATGGAAAGTTTTTGGATGGAAGTTGCTTCGCAATGCTCTTCCGGTGGCTGCTATTCTTATTCAAAGGGGTATTTCAGTTGATCCTCTATGTTCGTTTTGCCATGCGGAGGAGGAAACGGTGGGTCACCTTTTTCGTGATTGCGAGGTGGTCAAGCACCTCTTTATGTGTAGTTCATTGACCTTTAGTTTGCATGATTTGTCAGCACAGTCCTTTAAGAATTGGTTGGTCGATGTGATCTCGACCTTTTCTTCTTCTAAGGACTGGAATAGCTTGACAACTTTGTTTGCTTTGTTATGGGTTATTTGGATTTCTAGAAACAATTTCCGATTCCGTCGGCAGTCCATGGTTCCTGAGGAAGTTTTGGTCCTGGCTTCTAGATGGGTTACAAGATGTCAGGAAGCCCAACGGTTTGTTTTAGCCATCAAGAGGCCTTCAACTAGGATGCCTTCGGGCCTGTTTGGTTCTACTTTTTGGCTTTCAGGGGATTCTTCAAGGTCTTTGGAGTTCTGTGTCATCTTGGATGGTTCGTGGTCAGTTAAGGATAATACTACAGGAGTAGGTTGGGTTTTTCGGACTCCCGACTCATCTCTTGTTCTTGGAGGAGGAGCTCGTGCTACTTATGCTTCTTCGGCTATTCATGCTGAGTTGTTGGCTTGTTATTGGGGGTTGCGTAATGCAATCAGGAGGGGCTATCGACGGGTGCTTATTTATACGGATTGTGTGGTCTTATGCCAGGTTGCTGCTGGTCAGAGTCGAGTTGATATTTCGTTGCTTTGGCTTCTTCAGGATCTACTATCCTTATTGAGGCTTGTAGGATTCAGAAAGTGCCCAGGCTTTAGGTCGCTCCGGCTCATTGGTTGGCAGGGAAGGCTAGGCGTCGGGAGCTTCTTATTTGGTCTTTTTAGTTTGTTTTTTTTTTTTGTTTGTTTTCTTGCTAGTTCTCACTGTAAAAAATTAAAAAAAAAAAAAAAAAATCTCTAGAAGATAATCATATAGTTGTGGTCAAAATTACACGTTGATATGCAAAACTTCAAATGATGCAATCAAAAATGAACAGTGAAAGTATTTTGGAACGTAGAGAGATATCCGTAAAACATTAATTACAAAAAAAATAAGAGAGGTACAATTTACTCAGAAAAATCTAGCTATTTAATCACCTCAGACAATAGTAAATTAGTGTCATGTTGAATTCTTCAAAATATTTATCTGTGGATTAATGAAGTCATTCCAAATCCCATCATCAACCAAAGAAGAACCAAACACAATCTCAATGTCAATCACGAAACGGTATCATGACATCGAGAAACATATAAACAAGTGGTCAGCTCCCTTTAATAGGTACAACATCTAAAGCTGCCAATAAATTCTTCATCTACTAGAACATTGTATATGATGCTAACCAAATAATCTTAGGCAATGCAGAGGCGGTGTGGCGGAACAATCCTAGATATGGAAGTTTTTGATTACCAGGCAATAAACCACAAAGGTAATTTCCCTGAAGAAAATTTCAGATTAGTCCACATTAAATCGAGGCAAAATGGGCAATACCTAATTGAATAACTAATTTCTGGCTATACATCAAGCATTGCTCCCCCTTCTTGGGACAGGCTTGTAAAGAACAACTGTGACAAACTTTGACCGGAAGCGATGAGTAAAACCAAGCGCCACAACAGATCTTGGAGCCTCCCTGTTTTCGATGTAAAGATGATTTACAATCACGTTTTGAGGCAGGGGAAGTGTACCAGAGGTTTCTCTACTTGGAGGACAACTTAACAGGGTATGCTGCAAGTGGGGAGGGACAACAGGTGGTTCACGTGCTTCATCTTCATTTCCAGGGTATACACTGCTATAACTTGAACTAGGCGAATCAGGAGTTTCAAATCCTACTACAGTACCTTCTTCCTGCACAGCCAATTTTTTTTTGGTTATACTCCAAATAAAAAACAATCCTAACAAGGTAAACATAGGCTCATGCTTACTCGCTCATCAGTGCATGTGGTACTCATGTTGACAGCCACTCAGAGAGGCAAGGTCACAAAAACAGAAAATTCTTTTAAGTGAAGAACCTGAAACAAAATACTAGATTTTCAGTAAAAAGTTCAACAGTTTACAACACCAAAAATGCAGTATAAATCAAACAAAAATATATTGATGCGCACACAAAGCTGAAACAATTCAAGATAGCATAGGAAAAGGATCAATATTTTGATCTTTGAACTCCAATAAATTCTCGGACAATGGAACAAAGCACGTTGGTGCTCAGCATAACAAGCTAAAGTAGAGACAGCCAAAACGAAAACCAACACAACGTCAAAATTATCATTTTAAATTTTATCTTCAGATTTACTAAAAAGGCATGGGCTCACCCATGAAATGATAAATTAGCTCATTCCATGTTAAAGTTTGCAGTTTCTGAACATCATGTTTTAGAACCCCAATATGCACAGGTTTCTGATAGCTAACCCTCAGATGGTTTTTGAAACTCAAATCTTAGTCAGCAAAATGTGCAAAGCAAAGGTGATACGAGAAGAAACTTGTAAAATAAGTATAAATAAAGAATAAAGAAAAAATAAAAGGCATAACTCATCTTTGCACAATAGGTCCCCTCCTCTCCATGATCTGGCTTGCCCTTTTCCTACACTTCCCATATAAATCCGTGACATAATCTCCCTCCCCCCCCCCCCCCCCTCTTTTTCTCCCAAAATAATACTAGGTAGGAATGAGTGATATAAGCTACTCCAGATTAGTTGCTAGTTCCACCTCCATCAAATGTACCTAACATCATCTTGAGTGCAAAAATGATTTGGGATTCCAGCATAGTTGCAAGGCCTCTGTCTAAAAAGAAGCAAGTCTCAAAAGGTGACAAAGGCTTATCCACTTCTAAACGAAACACAGGAAACTGGTATAGTATTGAAAGGTCCAGGTTCAGACATGAAAGTGTAGCTTAGAACAACTCATATTCCAATAATGTACTCAGAAAGTGAGAGACTTAAACTGCAATCCCAGACACATTGAACCATTACAAAAATCAGGAGTTCAGGACAAAGATTCATAGCATAAAACCTGACAGAGCCAGGATCCTATAGTAACAGGTTAAAGGTAGCATAATATACACTTAACCTAAGCCTCAGGTAAAGAGCAATAATGCCCACCCTCCCAAATGAGAGAGCAAAGGAAGAAATAGAGGGTGGACAGATATTAGGAGACCACAAGAAAAATTTATCAGGAAGAAGAACAGAAAGAAGTGATGAAGTTAGCTGACAGAATTTACATTCACTACTCATTCCTTAGACCACCAATGCCCCTAACAATCAACATTTCACCAACAACTCATTCCTTAAACCACCAATGCCCCTAACAATCAACACTTCACCAACATTCGTTCCAACTCTTGTATCCATTCCTCAACACCTTACATGGTGTTGGACACTTCGACCTCACTCGGACCTAGAGGGATAGAACAATAGATCCATACAGATAAAGGACCTAAAATAATTGGTTATGAGAACCAAGAGTATCCAAATACATGGTAAAAAAGCATATGTATCATCTAATAACCTCAAATTATGTTCAGAAGGCTAAGAGCCTACAGAACTTTCAAGGGGCACTATACCATCTAAGTATTGTTAAAGCAACATATGCAATTCCAGAAATTTATCCTACCATATCAAAACAAATTGCTAGATATCAAATCATTCTAAGACCCTGAACATAACACCTAAGGTAGTATGTGACAAGGAGGGAGTCACATGTACACAAATTCTATCGTATTATTTCAAAAAGCTCTATCGTTAGTTTGTTACCCTAAAATTGCAAATGCAACTCAATATCCTACTTACACACGGATACAAAGTAAGCTACATACTTTCTGGGCACTTGATTCAATTTATCACGCTCCTAAGTCAAAAAAAAAAAACTACGCATTTGATGCTCTTTCAACTTTGTTGAAGAAGATCTAGAAATCATAAGATAATAGGCAATCCTAAACAACCAAGAAGAACATTCCCACCCAAGCCTCTTTGAGAAAATATTATAGATCCTTGGAAATTCATATGAATTAGATTGCTCTTCTAGCTAGTAGCACAAATCAAAATATGTCAGGCATTTGGAAGACCAAAGAAGTAATATCTGGCCAAGTAGAGGAGATGAGTCATCTTCACTTGAGACAAAGAACACCCTTCCTAATCTGACCAATAAATTTGGCAGCTCTGTAGTTATGTTTTAGTAAATAGAGAGTATTGCACATGTGCAATACCATTGTCAACAAATTGACACCAAATAAAAAGTAATAGTTATTTATGCATCATTGATCATACTATAAACATCAGATTAATATTAAAAAAAAAAAAACTTAGAAGAGAAAACCGTAAAAGGTGATGGCAAGACTAAAGAGGGAATAAATTAAATAAAGTAAGAATAAGGGAAGCTTGGTTTTCTAAAATTATTGCTAGAATTCTTGACTGACAATCAAATATAAAATTCACCAGATTCCATCAAAATTTTAATGCTCCCTCAGTCAACAGATCTTTACAACATAAATATAATTAGTGGTGCTATTAGCTATTGTTAATACATAGCTGCGACTGTACTAATCACACTAGGGTGACTAGATGAGGTGCCCCAAATAATAGGAAGCCATTGCAGTAAAGGGCACAGCAAGTGAACACTATAACAAGTGAATAGTGGTAGGTGAAGGGCACAGGCAGAGAGTCCAAAGTGCTGCTACATAAACGAAAATGGTCAATCATTAGCCTACCCCAGCGACCCCTAACATTATCCCTCCAAAGGTGACACAGAGGACCATCCATGTGTTTTTAATAAAAAAAAAATTACCCCCTTCCTTACAGGGCAACTGGTCAAAGTCACCAGAAGGCTGCTAAAATATTACAAAGCCACTAGAGCATCACCCAGAATGACAGTCCATAAAATGAAAACTCTTACTGGTGAAAGATTTTTCTGTTTTCTTATTTTGTTTCATCATCATTGTTTAACATTTCCCCGCTTTATGGTTGTTATAGAAAGGCTATTCTCCCAAACTACTAGTAAAATAGGAGTTCTGGTCACCTATTGTTAAGTTTTATTGCTATGGGAATTTATGGCTAAAAAAGTAGTGAGTATACAGCTGCTGGCAGCACACATAGTAATACAGATATCTATTGCAAGTTTTTTTCAATTCTTTGATTCCGTTTCTCTTTCAAATTTTCAACACTTTAAGTATTGTCCCATTCTTTGGTTGTAGGGGAAATGGGGTGAAATAGAAATCCAAGCACAGAGAACATAGATGCTGAGATCACAACACTGTCTCAAGCTAGTATAAATGTAAAAAGGTCCAAAATCAAACTGTTAAAATGAAAAGATCTTTGAATTGACTTGGGCATAAAAAAGGACCTATAAAGGCTACAATAAATTTACTCGCTATGGGAGAGAGGATGATGTTTTATGACCTTTAAAGATGTTTTTCTTACTTATCAATCCATTCTATTGCAAGAACTTGGAATATTTCATAAAATATCTTGGAAAATATTTGGGATTTGAATCACTTGAAAACAACCTAGTACCAGTGTTACCAGAAACGCAGTACAGAGACTACATTTCTCCATTCCAAAAACAACCCAATACGGTAAAACCTTTGACCTGGTTCAACAACCCTATGACCCATATTATTTCAGGCTTTTTTGATTTAAAGCACACCCAATTCACTATGGGTAGCACCTGTACCTTTTCCTATACCACGAATTGTATTGTACATTTAGCCATTCGATAGCACCCATATTCACATATAGACTAATATTTAAGAAAATTGGACAATGCTAGAAGCTTTCCAATCAAGCACAGCACAATCAATAAATTGTTCCTCCATTCAGGATAACAATCACATTCAGTAATTGTTGTTCTATGATACAAAGTTCTGACAATTATCATAAAAAAATTCCATTAAAATTGTTCCTCTAAAGCACTAAATGAGTTTCATATGAAATGCTAAATCCCTTACTAATAAACATGATTAAATTTATCTAAACCCAGCTACCACTCTTCCCAAAAGTCACATTTCTGCAATACCCTAACATACAATTGCCATCACAATGCACCTTAAAAAATGCCAATAATCGCATCAAATTATACAAACCCACAAATTCAAGTATCTTAAAAATTTAAATACCAACAAAATCATTGCATGTCAAAAATAGAAAGATACCCAAAATAAACCTAAACAAAAATCTCATAAATCCAACAAAAAAAATACCACCCATTTGCACAAATTAACATAAAAATGAAACCCTAATCACCAAATTCCCCTAATTTCAAACATTTCTAAAATCCGAACTAACCCACATAATAAACGGGAAAAAAATAACCCAATAAAAACACAAATTCAATTCAAAAATGAAATTCAAAAGCAAAGTAGGAATTACCGTAATGTGAAAATCGTGGATGAATATATACCGAGGTTCTAATATCTAAAGCTTTGTCAGAGATGCTTTAATGGCGGAGTTCTGAGAACTGAAGTTGATCGTACGATTCTTTAGTCTTCACACTCTCTCTGATTTTTTATTTTTTTTTTTAATTTTATTATATATTTTTGGTTTTTTGTACTTTAATTTTCCATCAATAATTAATTCCTATAATATGATTCGTGTTTGATAGGTAAAGTTCAGGTATTTCATTTTTGGTACGTCAGTTTTATGTGATATGGGTCCCTTAATTTCAGTTTGTGTGCACTTGGGCTTCTTCTCCTACCAACCCACTCTTCAATTAAGTTCTTTAGTTTTCGTACCTAATTCCATAGTAGAACTAGTGGCCACATGCAACTCTCTTCTCTTCGCCTTATTTTTTTGTTGATTGACGTTAATTATATGATCATACTTCATATTTAGTGTGATAACTTTTATTAAAATTTAATTTGTTATCGCATTGAATGGTGTATTTTATATTTTTATTATTTGTTTTAGAAAATATAAGGGAGCATGATCTATGATGAAATCACAAAATAATTCACCAACTAGTGACATAAGCTAGAAACATTGTGTCATTATACTTATTAACTCCGTTGCATTTTGAAAATGAGAAATTGTTGGACTAGAACTGATCAAACAAGATCAAGCTAGACCAAAATGCTCTAACATTTGGTTTGATTTTGGATTACTTTTTAATTTTTGTAAAAAAAAATGGTTGAAATGGAAAAGTAAATTAGAATTAGTTACTTAGTTAAACTTATACATTCATCGCCTAACTTGGAGCCATGAGATGAAAGTTTGTTTTTTATAAATCCAAACAATGGGATGTTAATTTTCTTAAATAGCTCAACATTGAATTGCTCCGTAACTAGAATTGAGCATAGGTTGGCAATCAGTTTGTTTAAATCTGGCACGACATTGGCCCAACTTATCACGTGTCCATCATAACCCCAACATGACCCAAAAAGACATAATGGTGTGCCATGGGTTGTGGTCTATGGATATACATCATTTTCAAAAATTGGCACAAGTATGACAAGTTGACTCACGTGTCGACTTGCTCATTTTTAATCAATTAACAAAATATCTAAAAACTATTATACATCATTTTCAAAAATTGGCACAAGTATGACGAGTTGACTCACGTGTCGACTTGCTCATTTTTAATCAATTAACAAAATATGTAAAAACTATTAAGAGGAATCCACTAACAGTCTAACATAACTTGATGCGTGGGATGAACTATGCATGGGCTTCTCGGTGAAAGTTTGACATGGTATAACATTGAAAAATAGAATCTAATAATACCACCTTTAAATTAGTGTGTCTTCCATATAAACAATATCACCTTTTGAAATTCCTGAAGAAAAAAAAAATCCCACCTTTATTATATATGGATCTTCCACTAACAATCCTTGACCGATTTTCTTAGGTTGGTAATTGGTTTTATTAGGTTGTCCTTCCACGTGTCAAATTTTTATTGGTCTATCTTTTTTTTATTTTTAAAAATAAAAAATTAAAAATCTACCTTGTTTTCCCCACCCCGACAGCCCTACTCCCACCGGCTTTCCCGTTCCATGACGGCTCTCCTCCCTCGCTGCAATCCTCTCGTATCTACCATCTCCTCCCTCGCTGCAACCTTCTCCCAACCACCCAAATACATCCAATCAATTAAACAAAAAATTAACAATAATAGATTTAAATCAAACCCTAGAAAAGGGGGGGGGGGGGAAATCAATTACCACCATCAACGGAGAAATGGCAACGAGAAAGGAGTTCTCAAGCGTGGTTAGGGTGTTTTTCAGGCCTACGGTTGGAGTTTTGAGGGCTAGCCGGCTAGGTGGGGTTTTTCGGGGCTAAGGTGGAGTTTTTTGGGGCTAAGGGTTGAGTTTTCAGGGCTAGGTGGTGTTTAGCGTGCTGTGGGTGGAGTTTCGGGGATGGGTGTTGTTTTACGGGGTTGGGTGGTGTCTTTTCATGGCTTGGGTGGCGTTTTACGGGGCTTGGTGGTATTTTTCGTGGCTGGGGTGGTATTTTTCATGGCTAGGAGGTGTTTCGTGGCTTGGGGTTGAGTTTTTCGAGGTTGGGTGATGTTTTCAAGGTTGTTGGGTCTGTCAGGGTGGTTAAAGGGTTTTCTAGTGTGACTGGAGAGTTTTGTGGTGGGTGCATATCAGGGTTGCAATTCAGGGGGTAAATGGGTTTTCGGGGTGGTGGATTGGTGGCCCAAGGAGAGAGAATGATCAAACTTCTTTCTTTTTTATCACACCATCTTGTTTTACAAGTTGTAGGTCAAAGGGATTGTTAATGAAAGATCCCTATCAAAGGTGAGATTGTTTCTTGAAGACATACTAAAGGTGGGATTATTAGATTCCATTTTTCCTATAACATTTATGTTTGATTTACTCATGTCTTTTTATCATTTATTTATCTCTTAACTTGGATTTTAGAAATGAAATTTTAGCACTAATGATGTGTTTTTTTTTAATAAGAAGATGAATTCTTGCACCAATAATTGATTGTTGGTGCAATGGTGATTAGGCTGCATTTGGTAAGGAGGATCGCGTGTTCGATCCTTCATAACAACAATTGGGAGGGGAGTGGAACCTAACTACGCAGAATTGAACCTCGAATTCGGGTTAGTCTAAAAGGGTGAACCAAGTGGAACACAACAAACAAACAAAAAAAAATGAATTCTTGGAACAATTCTTGTAATAAATGAGATTTTAATGATTTTTCTTTTCATAATAAAGGCTTAGCTTAAATCACTTAATTAGGGTGGTTGTTTGAATTTATTTGGTAAAAGAAACACACACATGATATAAATATTATTAATCTTTTATTGAGTAGTTTGTAACTATCTCGGCGTATCTCTCACAACTAATATTATATATATTAAATTTAGAACACGTGAGTAAAAATTTAGAACACGTGAGTAAAAATTTAGAACATACGAGTAAAAATTTAGAACATGCGACTCAAATTTAAATTTAGAACATATGACTAATAATTTTGAACATATGAATAATAATTTTGAACATGTGTGTGAGCAATAATTTAGAACATCTGCTTCAAAAATTAGAACATGTGAGTAAAAATTTTAAAAATTTGCTTTATGAAATTTAGAACATATGATTAAAATTTAGAACATCTGATTTAAAGTTTAGAACGTGTGAATAAAAAATTTAGAACAGTTGGTATAAAATATAAAAAATGGTAGTAAAATTATTGAACATATAAGTAAAAATATAGAACATGTGAGTAAAAATTGGAACATATGCTTTCAAATTTAGAACATATAACTAAAAATCTTAGAACACACGCACGTTTTATAATTTAGAACATATAAGTTAAAATTTCAGAATAAGTCATTCAAAATTTATAACGTCTAACTTAACTAATTTTTTGTTTAGAACATGTGAGTACTAATTTAGAACATTTGATTTAATTTAGATTTAAATCAGATTTAAAATTTAGAACATATGAGTAAAAATTTAGAACATAAAAAGTGTTCTCATATAAGAAAAATTCTCACGAGAGCCTCCCCATATATATATATATATATATATATATATATATATATATATATATATATATATATATATATATTAATGCAATGGCTACAATTTATCCCAATCAAACATAATTTCAAAAACAATTTTCCAGCGTTTTCTCTCTCCTCCTTCATTCAACGCACCATTTTCTCTCTCCTCCTTCAATTTCTCTACTCCTTTCTTATTACTATTTGCTTTGATTCTTCTTCAACTTCTTTGTTTCTTTTTCGAGGTGATTTTCGTTGATTTTAGTTTGATTTTCATTGATTAAAGTTTGATTTTCGTTGATTTTAGTTTGATTATTTAAGGTTTTCATCAATTGAATCTTCATTACTTAAGTTTTTTGTCAATTTTTTTTGCGATTTTCAATTCAATTTCCGTTCGAAATGTTTGCTCATTAGCAACCAAGTATTTGCTCATTTATAAATGAACAAATGAACAGTTAACTATTTGCTCATTTGCCAAATGAGCAAAAAATTAAGAAAAATTTACAAAAAATCACCTTTTATAAGACATTTTTTGCAAGAAACCACTTTTTTTTTTTTTTTTTTTGCAATGACATATCTTAATCCTTTTTTTTTGCAATGCCACACCTTTGGCCGCAAAAGAGGGTTTGATCCAGTTTTCCGGCGTTGACTCCACCATGTGCGACTCACGTGACCTCTTAAAACCACTCTCCAACTATGCCACCCACCAGAACACCCAGCGCCTACCCACCCTAGCTGCCGAGACCGCCTTCCCAACCCACCACCACCATATCTTGACATTCATCACCTCTTATGCAGAAATACCCCAATAAGGAAGTCCGATTTCTTCCACATAAACCCTAGTTTGATGAATTTATGCCCCAATCCTACCCCCAAACTATGTGCACACGAGAATGACTTTTGCAGGGGTGAACCTATACAGTGTCCGGGGTGGCACGTGCCCCCCCCCCCACTTTTAAAAAAAATCTGTTTGACCAATTTAAAAAAAATTAATTATGTAAAGCATGCCCTTACCTTCCCGCAACATCAGAACATCCCCATTAGAGTAGTTGTAATTTTGTAAACTTGTAAAAGTTTCCTTTGAGGCTTGGACAAAAAGTAAAAATAATAATAATAATAATAATAATAATAATAAAAAAAAAACCTTAAAAGTACAATTAAAAAAAAAAAGGAATACTACTGCTTCTAGGATTCTACACCTAACCCCTATTCCCCTAAAGTCTAATATTTCCAATTTTCCGACTTCCCAAAATCCCAACTATTCGTACAAATCCCCAATACCCCAACCACACTAAAAAAAACAAATAGTCTCCAACAGTAAAAAAAAATACGAGTACTTTGCAATTACTCCGTATTCAACAGTTATAACCTTTAGGTTTTGACGAAATTGAAAATTGGTCGAATTTTTGTGTAATTTTGTATTGTTTCTTGTTTGTGGGTGTCATATCTACCAAATTAAGGTTAGTTACTTTTTTATTGTCCTTTGTTATTCTTTAATGTTTTAATTTTTGTCCTTAATTTGGTTGTTTAATGTTGATATTTTAAATAAATTTTATGATTGAAATTGATATGAATTATATAATCTGTTGAATAGCACATTGATAATTTGTTACGGTGGTACTTTATTACTATTAGTAAATTGTAAATTTGTTTGACATGAGGGATTATCAATTAATTGTAAATCTATACAAAATAATTGTATCTTGTTAAAGTGCGGAGTAATTGTAAAAAAAACTAATTATACTCATTTAAAATTACAGTATGAAGAGAACAAAAACAAGAGATATTACAAAAAAAATTTTTCAAAAAGAGTTCATAAAGAATCTGGTGCTACCTCTAGTCATAATCCTCCCCAATCTCAAGCAAATCAACCTGATTTTTCTCAACCAATTGATAATTCTCCATCTCAAGAAACTGAAAATAGCCCTCAAAATTTAGGAGGTGAAGCAGAAATAGGAGCTAGTTCAAATCCTAGGACTGAAGCTCCAAACGATGAAGAAAGATTAAATGTGGTTGATGTTGTAAATCTTTCTCATGACCCGGGACTAAGAAAAAAGATATATGAGTTTCATCTAGATGACAGGGATCTTGTTAAGAGAGCATATATTCAAAGAAAACTTTGCCAGCCTAAAGACTATATATGAATTTCCTCAAAGACCTTTTGGGCCGAAAATGCGTCGATTTAACCCTTATTGGTAAAGATGGACGTGGGTCGTGCCGGCACGGGCCCAACACGACTCTGGAACGACACGGTCACCGGCCGGCCCACTTGTGGGTCGTGGGCCGTGCCGTGGACACAAAAATGAGATTTTGGCACAAGCACGGCCGGCAGCACGGTGGCTGGACCGTGGGTCGTCACGCCGGCGCGACCTGGAATTATTATTTTTTGCAAAATTAATAAAATTATTTATATAAACTTAAACATAATTTATTAATATAATCTTAATTAAATTAAGGTTGTTCAAAAAATATATATATATTAGGCTAAATTAGAAAATAACACCTGCTAAAGACCCCGATTTTGTTTTTAACACCTGTTAAAAAAAAAGTTTTATTATAACACCTCCAAAAATCCCAAAATTTTGGTTTCACCACCCACTAACAGATTTTTGGATGGAAACCGTTAGTGGGGCCACCATGTACACGTGTCAGTTGTTAATTAGTTTAAAAAAAAAATTTTAAAAAAAAAACCTAACCCCCTAACTCAGCCAGCCACCGCACCGGCACCACCTGCGGCCAGCCACAAACGGTGGCCTTCTCCCCTGCCTACCCCATAACCAACCAACCACCAACCACCGACCACCAGCCATCGATTTTCGCCGCCGAACCACCTCTAACACCGGAAATCGGCTCCCCCACCCTTAACCCACCTCGAAAACCGCTATCATCCTTCACAAAGCCGCCAAAGTACGGTTCCCCTCCCCAACGCAACCCCCTTAAATGGACCTCCTCCCTTCCCGCACCGCCGAAACCGGCGCCCCCTCCCTTCCCACACCACTGAAACCGGCTCCCCTTCCTTTCCCTCAACCCAGAAACCGACCTCTTCCCTTCCCACCTTCGAAAACGGCCCTAAGCTCCCGATGACTAAGGTTTCTAGGCTAGGTTGGGGTGGGGGAAGCAAGGGAGGTGTCGGAAATTGGTGATTGGCGCCGGAAATTGGGAATCAGGGTAGGAAATAGGGAAGGGGAAGGGAAGAGGCGGCTGGCCGCAGGTGGTGCCGGTGCGGTGGCTGGCTCAGTTAGGGGGTTAGGTTTTTTTTTTTTTTTTTTTAAATTTTCTTTTTTTTAAGCCAATAAACAACTGACACGTGTACATGATGGCCCCCACTAACGATTTCCATCCAAAAATCCGTTAGTGGGTGGTGAAACCAAAATTTTGGGATTTTTGGAGGTGTTATAATAAAACTTTTTTTTTAACAGGTGTTAAAAACAAAATCGGGGTCTTTAGCAGGTGTTATTTTCTAATTTGGCCTATATATTAACATTAACATAAGCAATTAATAAGATTATTAATATAAACTTAAGTTGTTAAAAACATTATATATTTTATTTTTTTAATATACATATATAAAAATAAAAAAATAAAATAAAAAATTCTGGTTGGCCCGCGGCACGGCCCGCCAGGCACGTGGGCCGTGCCGTGCCGTTGGCTGGGGTGTGCCAATAGTTGGCACGGCACGGAACGACGACCCGGCACGCCCCGCACCCCGGCACGGCATGATGCCCATCTTTACTAAGCTAAGTGGTTTAAAAAGTATAAATCTTGGCTTGAGTATAGTGTTGAAAAGGATGCAACGTTTTGTTTTCCTTGCTATTTATTCAAGAATGAAAATTCACCAGGTGGAGATGCTTTTGTAAGTGGTGGATTTAGAGCTTGGAATAAAACAAATGCATATGATAAGCATTTTGGAGGAAATATGAGTGCCCACAATCAAGCTATGGGGAATTTAAATGTTTTTAAAAATCAGAAGGGTTCCATTGCATGTGGTTTATCTAAGAAAACTGAGGATACTATGAGTAAGTATCGAAAGAGACTACAAGCTTCTATTAAGTGTTTGAGGTGCGTGGTTATTACTTCAAGGGTTACCGCAACGTGGTCATGATGAAAGTGAGTCTTCGTCGAATCGAGGTAATTTTCTAGAACTTCTGAAATTTCTTGCAACTGAAAATTTTGATGTTCGGCAAGTAGTTCTTGAAAATGCTCCGAGTAACTCTCAAATGACATCTCCTACTAATAAAAAAGACGTCATTAATGTTTGTGCAATAGAATTAACCAAAGCAATAATTGATGAATTGGGAAGTGATTTATTTGCTATTCTTGCTGATGAGTGTGTTGATATATCTGATAAAGAACAAATGGCTCTTTGTTTGCGATACATAAATAAAAGAGGAGAGGTGACTGAACGCTTTCTTAGTATTATCCATGTTGTTGATACCAAATCTCTGACCCTAAAAGCTGCAATTGAATCCTTACTTATGGAGCATTCTCTCACTTTTTCTAAAGTTCGTGGTCAAAGTTATGATGGTGCCAGAAATATGCAAGGTGAAATTAACGGCCTTAAAACTTTGATTAAAAGTGAATCCGAATCTGCATATTTTGTTCATTATTTTTCCCATCAACTCCAATTGACTCTTGTTGTCGTAGCTAAGAAAAATGCTGATTGTGGGTGGCTATTTGTTGATGTGCTTGCACCATTATTGAATTTTGTGGGTGGTTCACCTAAGAGAAAAGAGTTTCTTCGACAAAAACAGGATGAACATGTTGCGGAGGCACTAACTTTGGGTGAACTTGAATTGGGAACTGGTTTAAATCAGGAGCGTAGCTTGAGTAGACCCAACGATACTCGTTGGGGTTCTCACTTTAGAACCATTTTGAATGTGCTTAATTTGTATCATGATTCTTGAGTCACTTGATGACATTGGAGCTATTTCTGATCGTGTTGATAGGAATAAAGCTGAGTCACTTACTCACTTATTGATGACCTTTGATTTTATCTTTGTGGCACATTTGATGAAGAGTATATTTTCTATTACAAATGAGTTGCACATGGCATTACAAAAAAGTGATCAATATATTGTGAATGCAATGACAATGGTTGATGTAACTAAGAGACATTTACAAGAGTTATGAGATGATGGTTGAGATTATCACATGGAAAAAGTAACCACATTTATGGTTAAGTATGACATTGAAATTCCTAACATGGAAGAAAAGTATGTTGTCCCAGGGAGACGAAAATTTCGTGGTGGTAGGCCACAAGTGACTAAACTTCACCATTTTCGAGTTGAAGTTTTTCTAAGTGTCATTAATCTACAATTGCAAGAACTTGATTATCGATCTGATAAGGTAAGTAAGAAATTACTTATATGCATGTCTTGCTTTAATCCCATTAACCAATTTTCTTCTTTTGACATTAACAAATTGATCCGACTTGCTAAATTTTATTCTAATAAATTTCGAGTGTTGAAATTTCTTTTATGGAAAATTCACTTACAAAATTTATTGTGGATATAAAAAGTGATGAGAGATTTTTGAATTTGAAGAACCTTAATGAGCTTTCCATGAAACTTGTTGAGACACAAAAGAATGAAACTCATCTGATAGTATCCCTGTGGCGACAACTTATGTTGAAAGAGCTTTAAATTTTCAGGAATAACTCAAATTAAAAGCAAATTGCGCAATAGCATGGGAGATCAGTTGTTGAATGATTGTTTGGTTACTAATCTAGAAAAAGATTTGTTTTTGAATGTAAGCATAGATGCTATCGTAAACCGATTTCAAAATATGAAAACTCGACGAGAACAATTGTAACTTTTTAAGTAGAACTTTGTTATGATCGAAATTTTTTATTACATTATGAATTTACCTCTATGAATAGAAGTTTTTTTTTTTTTTTAAAAAAAAAATAAAATAAAATAGTCTATATCCTTTTATGTTCGTAGATATTGGTGCCCCCCTTTGTTTAAATTCCTAGATTCGCCACTGGTCTTTTGCCTATTAGAGTTTATCAACTATTTCCAATTGAAAATCTAAGTTGCTCAACCATTACTTCAATTCGACTTTGGAAACATTCTTAGCAATTTAATGCTACTTATATTTCTAGGGTTGAAGTTAGATTCACTTGAATTCACTCATCGACAACCCATTTTAGCCTATAAATCATCGATTGAGGATACGACGAATTCGAATAATGAAGATTTTGTGACAAGGGCTTCGAAGGAAAACCCTAGCCAAGTAGAACCTAGGTTTCGAATTGGGGATGAAGTGCTTACTTCGACTGAAATATAAAATTTGAAGAACAAAAGGTACCGTTATAGAGCTTTTGAGGTGTTGAAAAAGCTTATTTCGGTGGTTATGGTGGTTATGGTGAGGTGGGTAAGAGGTGAATGTCAAGATCTTGTGGTGGTGGGGTGGGTAAGGTGGTTTAGGTGGCTAGGGTGGGTAGGCGTTGGACGTTCTGATAGGTGGCGTACTTGGAGAGTGGTTTTAAGATGTCACGTGACTCGCACTTGGTGGAGTCAACGCCGGAAAACTGGATCAAACCATCTTTTCCGGCTAAAGGTGTTGCATTGCAAAAAAAACATTTGTATTAAGGTATGTCATTGCAAAAAAAACAAAAAAAAAAACAAAAAAATTTATAAGGTGGTTTTTTGCAAAAAAAAAATGCCTTATAAAAGGTGTTTTTTGTAAAATTTCCAAAAATTAATTGCTCATTTTCCAAATGATCAAAGAAATTTTTATTTTACAAATGAGTAACTAATTATTTGCTTATTTGACAAATGAGCAAACTAATGGTTGCTCATTTCACAAATGAGCAAAGAAATGCTTTTGATTTAATGAATTATTAAAGTAATCTTTGTTCATTTGACTAATGAGCAACTAAGTTTTTTCTCATTTATTATATTAGCAAATAAGTATTTGCTCATTTGCTAAATGATCAAAAAATTAATTGCTCATTTCCCAAATTAAATGATCAAAAAAATGTTTGCTTATTTTACAAATGAGTAACTAATTATTTGATTATCTAACAGTTGCTCATTTCACAAATGAGCAAAAAAATGCTTGTTGATTAAAAAAATATTTGCTCATTTGACAAATGAGCAAAAAAAATTAGCATTAAAGAAGAGGAGAGAGAAATAGTCGATCTTCAATTAATAGTCTTTATTGTAATCCCACCTTCAAGCTTTGAAGAGAGAGAAAGAGAACGAAGTATATAAATTGTACGTAATTTGGGTTTTGGGGGTTGATGTATTTGTTTTAAGAATTACATTATTGTCATTACTAGTTGAACAATCTCATATGTTGGATTCAATACAATCTAATGGTTGAGATTTGTCCTCACATAAGGAATGAGTTTTCACATAGAGAGTGGTTCTCACATAAGGGTATAAATGTAATTTAAATTTCTAAAAGCATACATTCTAATTGCCAATGTATTATCAAGACTATGTAAACCTAAAAGTATTGGTATTGAGAAAGAATCAAACACGCAATAACTTGGCAATATACACAAAGTTATGTATAACAAGTAAAGAATATTAAATGTCAACTATAGAGTATTTAACTTAATATTCTCCTATTAACTATCTCTATTAATTTTATATGAATACTAGTACAACAAAGATGCATTTTTTTGTAAGGATTAAGAATGAGTGAATGAATATTCCCAATTGACTTGAGCATAGTTGAATGAATATCCCTCCTTAAATACATGGGATCATCAAACTTTGATCTCTTAATATGTACGATTAGTCCTTGCTAATGTATTTAATACAACTCCATAAGCCAAAAACAAAAGATGCGGCTAAACGTATTCCATTATACTTTGTTTAATTAACAACTAGTGTGATTAAGGAGAAGAATCATTAACTTTACTAATGACAATGTCAACTTCAAAAGTCCTACTTATATCCTCTCAAAATTACACACCTTCACCAAATTAAACCTTCCCAAAAACAACCATACTAGGATTATATTCTTTAAACTCGAATGTGAGTGAGTTGGAAGGATAAAGAATGAATGAAAGAGATGCAATAGGTCAAGTGAGCATCATGTGATTGTGTTATTTCAAGTGCTTGACTTTCAAACCATTCCTTATAGTTTGGAAAATTCTAAGTAGGGGGGTGAGCCGGGTGACATAGGGAAACCCACGGGAGCCTTGACAACCTCAATTTGAATAATACGTAGTATGAAAATTAAGGTACAAACGTTTTACATTTTTATAAATAGTTTATTAAATTTTTTGTTCTCTCGAAAAGTAAAATGAAAATTTTGTCTTATTTTCTAATTTGGTCTCTTTTAACGCCTAAATGCTCCCACATTAGAGTAAAACTCTAGTGGTCATGCCAATCTGACACCAAGGTTCACCCTATCATTGTGATCTACAAGCCAAATGACCATGTTGATCAAGATCTTCTCCTTGGCCAACCCCCACATCCGGAGCGGAGGCTACAAGCAAAGAAGGAAGACATACATTAGCGACGTGAGTTAGGTTGAACGCCCGCATGTGATGGTTTGCCAGGGAGAAGATCTTGGACATTGTTATCTTGGAACTCCTGGACCAATATAGGGTGAAACTGGTGTTGTGGTACTAGTTATCAAAGAGGCCAACCTTCCCTATATTTTTGCTCCAAGTAACAAGCTCTTTACAATATTAGGCTTGACCTTGTTAATTTATGAATGTTTTATAACATGTATGTTGAAGGATTTATTTTTATTTATTTTTATTTATTTACATTTTTGGGTAGAAAAAAAAGTAATTACAGGCTTACAGTACACATATGCACATTAGTACGATGGATTAATAACTTGAATTTTTATAAGAAGGGCCAATGAAAACGGGTGTACGGCATTTTTTTGTGGCAGTACATCATTGCATCATGTTCTCTTACTTTTAATGCACATTTAATACTTGATTCAAATTATAATTATAATTATAATTATTAGGTGAATCAATATCTATTTAAACCTAGTACACCATCTAATATGCAAGAAGTACAATTGTACAAATACATATAAAATAAATAAAGTCAGTAAATGTTGTAACATGTGAATGTGTGATAATTGAATGAGCTAGACATGCTACACATGACATTTTTATATCTCAAGGAGAGGCAGAAAATGGTACAATGCAGCAGAGGAGGCAGGAAGTGGTGGTCCATATCATTGTGGCCGTGTAAGATGAAGTCGTCAATCAAGAGCCTATCATTGGCCGCGACCCTTAACAACCAGAGCAGATGCTACCGGTGAATGACTGATAACTAAGCTGCAGCTGCTGAACATTCGAATGTTGCAGTTTGTCTAGGAGATATCTGAGACATATTTGTGAATTGTGATGGCACCTCCAGAAAAAGGAATCACCAGTTCGTCATGATCTATGACAATGGCAACCAAAACTTTGTGAGGCTACCTTCAGGACCTTTTCCTTCGACTCGGACTTTTAGTTACAGACTGATCCTAATCTGCTTCACAAAGTCAGGGGCAAATCTTGGTTAGGGCGGGTAATGCCCCGGCCCCCCTTAAGCAAAATTTTAGTTGTTGATTATAAGTAATATGAAGTCTACTAATTAAAAATAAAATGTTGTTGCATAAGTGCTGTTATTTTTGTGTAAAAGGTTGAGGATTGAACCTTGGCCCCTTAACTTTTTGGCCCAAAATCCGCCATTGCACAAAGTCACACGTCAAAGTTGTCGATTTGATTCATAATTTGGGTTGTTTGCCCATTTATTTATTTCTCAACCTAAAGGTCAATTGTTGAGCAAGAATTCACCTATGTATATGTGTAGTATGTGTAATAAATTTCAGATTTGAACTATTGTCTTGCTCCACCTATAATAGCCATGATCATGTCTTAAGTCTTGTGATTCAAAGTAAACATTACATTCAAGTAATCACAGTTTCCATAAAATTTCCAGCTAATTTCTCACTGGCCCGTGATGGGACGCGATTACACTCTTAAATCTTAATTGCAAGCACCAGATGGTCTTTTCTGTTTTGGAAGAGCAGCCCGTGATGGGACGCAATTACATCTCTTAAATCATAACACAGAAACATTCTTCTGAACACAATAATTACAACTACAAATTAGAAATGGACTTCTGCAACATCGACTTACACAGAATCCACACTGCTGTATGAGACCTACTGTAGGCATTACTGATTATTGTTTGCCTTGAAACATGCTGAGTTTTAGGCATGGGAAACTAACAGTTCTACAATTTCATAAAATAACAGAAGCGATGCGTGAAGGCATGAAGCAGACTTTCAAATCTTATAGACTTTAGCTGTTTATTTACCGGTATGGTTAACATCTGACACAAAATTTGTTCTTATCAAAATGCCCACTTCCACCAGAAAAAACAGCTTTTCCAGGATAACTTATAATATTTTATGTGACTATTAATGTCAAACTCTATACGGAATAATCACTTTTGGTTCATGTAAGCAACCCCACTTATGGGATTAAGGCTTTGATTGATTGATTAATGTCGGACTGAGGGAGAACAAGTATTTGGCTGGAAGAAAAATAAGAAGAATAATAGAAATGAATGACCAAGATCCAGCCCATCCAGGTTAATTAAGCTAAGAGTCTAGAGATGTCACCGATATGGATAATTACAAACTCAGCTTTCCACTGCCATCGCAGGTTCTACAAGATCGAGCAGCTGAACACTTTGTGCAATAACTCCATTTCCTTGGAAGCCTGTTTCAGATCAGTGACTTCACTGTGAGGATAGCAAAGGGAAGTACCAAGAAGAAAATACACATCAGAAGATCTACTTTAAATTTTAATACACAGATCATTACCCAGATGTATAGCGAGTAGCTGCATCCTTAGAAATCATCCTAGCCCTTGCAGCCCTTTCTTCTGACAGTTTCTGAAGCACAAAACCCTCTCCATTGCACTCTGAGCAAATACCAGAACCACTACAATCTTCACAGATTTTCACTGGAGTCTGACTTCATTATATTACAAAAATATGCTTCGGTTAAATCTCAATTCAACAGAAAACTGAGTTCAATAAACACAGCATCTATAGGTGAAATGAAAATGGACTTCAAAATTGTACTCCGTAATATTAGAGCACATAGCCATAAGTAAGTTTCACATTTGTGGACAATTATGCAGTTTCATAGCATGTACTTGTAATTAATTATTGTATTTGAGCTGATCTAGGTACAAATTGAATGTCAGCATTCCAGTAACATGTAGCAAAACCTACATATTTTGGCCTCTATCATACAGTGCTAAAAAGACACGAATAAAATTATGGGAAATTCTCCATGGTAGAAATTGCACATTCTCATTGGTAGCAAAACTTTTTCAAAAATCTCATAAATAACATTGGATTTATAAGTTTCTTCTAATCTAGAAATATTTTGGTAATTCTCAAATAATTAACCTTAAATAGATTAATCATGGTTAAATAATAATATGCCAACAAATGTGAAAGTTATTTATTGGAAGCTATTTTCATTTTCATAATTTGTTGACATCAGAAGTTAGGCAGTAGCAAAGCAGAGAAGCTAGCAGGGGCTTTACTTAACACAATGAAGCTCTTGGGTCTTCTAGAATACTAGTATTTTGTCACTCCAGTAAGTAGAATCATCAGAATATTGAAAATGTGACAATAAACAAACTAGCACAAGTAGTAACGGTATACTACTTTTAGGCACTTGTAGCATTAATCCACTGCACCCATTGACAGGTAAATTCACCTCCATGTTAGCATTTCGAACATAGCAGTCACTACCACAGTACCACAGTATCACACTACCACACGCACACAGAGTAATGAAATATTCAACATCTAAAGTCACTGGTCAGAAGGAGGACCTCTTCTGAAGCATAAAAGACTACTCGTAATATATATCCTGTACTACAAGTTGATTCCCAGAACAAAATATACAGCAAAAACAGAAAGTAGTAGCACACACCTTTTTTCAGATTGTTGGGTTCTTTTAACGAGAAGAGTGGCTGCTGCACCAACAACTGCAGTTGCTATTGTCACAGACACAAATGTTTCTGGCAATGCAGAAGATATTCTGAAGAATTTTCTTCTGTGATCTTGCAACTTCATGCATTTGGATCCTAGTCACTTCATTACATTAACATAATGAAAATCACAAGGCCAGGCAATATACTACATGAACTTCATGCATTTGGATTCTGGGAATTTTTTTAAACAAAATATAGAAAAAAAGGGGGAAAAATGAATTTAAACTACAAAGAAATGAGGACTCACTAAACAACTACTCCATAGTTCAGTTTACAATATGCATGTTTACATGTTATATTCGAAATAACTGGTTAATCAGTGCAGTCCTCTTAAATGGAGAAGAACCCAAGTCTACATGTAATACATCATCTTCAAGGCCTAAGCTAGAAAATGACATCGAACTCCAATAGACTTATCAACTTTTAATGGTAATTAGTTTTCTTCCTGAAGTATTTCAATAAATGATGCAGAATTTAAAGAATTGGACAGACAAACCCATGCTAAATTGATGTACCAAAGCAGAGGAATAGAGAACCTAAATTAATATGAGTGCTGCACAAAAAACTTAATATGAAAAGACAATCTCTCAGCCTCTTAGAAAAGCTCAAGCGCCAATATTCCTTTGGTTTGGCTGTCAACTCATTAAAGTCTAAATTGACACTACATTCAACTTTTTCGGTCTTGAATCTTGATACACATGGTCACATGGAAACAAGCCAAGCCAGACAGCAGAAAAAATTGGCTGTAACCTATCTCGTTGGGTTTGTGTGATATTTGAAGCAAAAGGCGATAATGAGTGGTAATAAAAATTTACGATTTGGAAGTGGAAATGCATTTCCTATACCATGGACATTGTAAAGGAAATTTCCTAACAACATTACACATAACTACACAACCATACTATAGAGAACCATTTTTTTTCACCTCATACCAAACAGGTTTCCAAATATTGCTTTCAAAGATAATGTAAGCAGAAACCAAAGTCAATTAGAAATCAGATCAGAGATAGCAATGTTTTACAATCTCTCCACTGTACAAGACGACGTCAATCAGTCAATGTAGCAGGGACTTATGAGTAAGTTTATGTTTTGAGTCGTTTTTCGATATATAGGGAGCAACTAAGGGCAATGATACAAACGAGATTTTTTTTTTTTTTTACCAAGTAATCCGGTAAGCAAATTGTCATCTACTGATCTACATGAATACATTATGTTTTGAGTTGTTGAATTATCTGTTTCAAAGTTTTGTATAGGAACTCTAAGGTCACAAACCTTGATCATGGACAAAAAAACATTAAACTACTCTTTTTATGTTACCAATCTTACCACCACCTAATCCAAAATAATAGGCTGCATTTTACTTAGATTGTCAAAAACTCGAACTATAGCAAAAAATATAATCACATTACTAGATCAACTTCAACTATAAATGAAGCCCATGATTATATTATCACAGCTATAACTATAATTATAGGCACGTTAATGAAGCTAACTTTATATACTCCTTCGTTGTCTGTATTTAATTGTCACGTTTATAGTGTAATTTAAACTAGCAATTGCAATCGTGTAAATTAATTAGTAAAATTAAAAATCAGTTGGTATATCATACAAAGTTGAAACAAACCAAAAATACGACTAATTACAGTGAAGCAAAACACAAAGTATAAATGTCTTTCAAAAAAAAAAAAAAAAAAAAAAAAAAAAAAACACACCACAAAGTATAAATTAAGCAGAAATAACACAGAAAAAGAGAGAAAGTTGAAGGATGAAGCTAACCTCTGATAGGAGGGAAGACTGATATTGAATGGTTATGAAAGGCGACCTCCATCTTTGTGCTCAAAGCTATGATCCTTAATCCTTATCCCCTTTTCTCGTCGCTGTAATTTGAGGAGTTGTACCAACAAGTATATCGCTTAAGGACATAATTGACATATTGTAAATCTCTTTTTATTTTAAATTCAAAGTTAAGATATACACGCTACGTGTGTTCAATATAAGAAATTAGATGATAAAAAAAAAAAAAAAAAAGTAGTAAAGTGGTTTTATATTTTATGGGGAGTGATAATAGTTGAATATGTAAATTTATGTGAAAGAAAGGGAACGGTTATTATTGGGTAGTTATGATAGGATTTTTTTTTTTTGTTTTTTGGTAATGCTGCAACTTGAGAAGGGTAATTTGGGGATAATGAAATTTATCATCCAATAGGCCCTTTCACTTTATATATAGGATTTTTATTTGTGAGAAATAAAATGTTTTAAAGTTGAAAATAATATACTCCATCCGTCCCCAAAACTTCAATCATTTTGGGTTATTAAGAAATTTTTAAAAATAATAAAAAAAAATTCTTGGAAAGATAAACTAAATACATGAAAAAACATACTATATATCTTCTCCCTAATTTGTCATGGTATCAAGAGCATGTTAGATCTTGGGAGTATTTACGAACATAAACAAGTCATTCTATTCTCTTCTCCCTAATTTGTCATGGTATCAAGAGCAGGTTAGATCTTGAAAGTATTTACGAAAAATTTCTTCCTACTGGCGGGTTAAGAATCTTAAACCCACCAGTGGGATAAACCTTTAGCCAAAACTACAATTTTTTTTTTCTTTACGTACCTAAGGATCTTGCATTGTTTAGTGTATGTTGATCACTTGATGATCATGCATGAAGATTTTTTTTTTTTTTCTGAGTTTTCTATAGTTGACGAGGTGATGATGAATCAGGGTCTAAGCTTTGACTTTGATTTGATTAAAAAAAAAAACAGTTGTCTTGTGTCGTGAGACAAGATAAATTTGGTTCTCCTTGTGTCGTGAAACAATGTTTGTGAGTTGATTCGAGCATGATTTTGCTCCTTTGGATATGAGTGTGGTTTACTCTGAAAAACCAATAAGAGATTTGAGTGTGGTTTACTCTGAAAGACCATTGAGAGATTTGAGTGTGGTTTACTCTGAAAGACCAATAAAAGATTTGAGTGTGGTTTACTCTGGAAAAACCAATATTTGATTGGAGCTCGGTTTTGCTCAGGAAAAATAAAAAATTGTTATATTTGCAGGTTCGAAAAGAATGACGTTCCTGTTTGATTGATCACTTATGAGTTCGAAAAGATGAATGTTCTCATCGTTGAAAAATAAGAAACAAAAATTGAAGGAGACATCACAAGAGTGTGCATCTCGACTTCAACAAATTGAAGAATTTCCAATCGCAACATTCGTGTTACTACCGTTACAATTGCGGGAGGATGTTAGAGATATGATATATCGAAAAATATATGTGATATATTTTCCGTATAGATATTATAATGAGAATAATATATTTAGTATTATCTTATGTTAAGATATTATTTAAAAAATATATCATTAAGATATACTTTCTCCGTTTTCTTTTACTTGCAACACTTCCCTAAAAAGAAAATGTCACAATACTTGCAACACACTATAAAAGGAAAGTTACTTTAGGGAAAAGCTATACTATATCCCTTATTTAAATCACATGGCCCACTAAATTACACTCATAACAATCATTCATCCTATTTTTAAATTTATTATATCATATGAACCCCACCTTTCTTAATTACCGCGCTAAAGGGTGTGTTGCATCTAAAAGAAAATGGAGGAAGTATAATATATCTTTTAGGAATATTGTTTCCTATCTTATGTTCGTAGGTTTTGTATACATACTCTACCTATTGATGAATAATAAACAAGTCATTCTATTCTCTTCTCCCTAATTTGTCAGGATTTCAATGGTAATTTTGGTAATGGGGTGGGTGTTTGCAGCAACAACGACAAAGTTTTGGGTGGTTATGGTGGTTTCAGGGAGATCCGAACAATGAAAAGGTGGTCAATGGTGGTGATGGAAGTTTGGTTGGTAGTAGGGGTGTGGGCCAATCAAGTGGTGGTCTTGACAGTGCGACTGTGCGAGTGAGTGATGGTCAGGTGGATGTTGGTGCCCTTGGTGGTGATACGGTCAAAAAATAATTATCCACTTTCTTTTTATTTCCCTCTTAATCATATGCCCAAACATATACTACGTAGGGTTTGTTCTCATTAACTAAACTGAGCTGAAGTCAACTGAACTGAGCTAAACTGAAATGAATATTTTATAAGATAAGGAAATTAGGAGATGAACTGAACTGAGCTGAACTGAACTGAACTGAATTTCCAACGTATGAGAACAAGCAGTGGCAGATCCACATTGACGCCCGGGGGGGGGGGCACGTGCTACCCCAGTACCCCCACAAAAAAAAAATGCTAGAAAACCGTCCTTTATATGTGTATATATATTATAATCTGTATTAATGTTAAATGTCTCCAGCATTGCTTCAGTGGTAAAGGAGTTGGATGGGTGAATTATGTGTCTTCAAGAAGTTCAGGGTTCAAGACCCCTTAGCATCATTTTTTTTTTCTTTGAATCCAAATGAATTTCCACTTTCCTCCTATTTAATTAATAAAAGGATAAGCTATTACTATCTTTTCATGATAAATTTCTTTTTTCCGTTTTCACACTTTTTATAAAACAATCCTTATTAATATGAAATACTCTCTCCATTATGTTTTATTCATTTTTCTCATTTTCATCGCATAATATTTATTGCATTTATTTGGCCATTATTAAATCTTGTTTATAATCGTATGAAAATTTACACTGAAATAAATATAAAAAATCATACTCCAAGTGTGTTTAAATAAATGAAATGTTTTGACTTTTTGTACAATTCATCTAATTCACTTTAGCTAATATTTGTGATTTATACATAACAATAAATATAGTCATGTGGGTACTTGTTGGAATCGTCAAATTTATTACTATAATATTCAATTGTTATAAGTTTAATTATTAAAGATATATATTTCCAGTCAAAGTTTTACGTTAGCATATGTGCCATAAGAGCACAAGGAAAAATTTATACCAAAGTTTTCGGTATAAATTCATATGCAACTTTGACAAAATAAAAAATAAATAGGTGAAAAGTTTATAATAGTATAATCGATATCTACAATATAATTGAATTATTATTTGTAAAAAAAAAAAATTGAAAAAAAACTTGTCAATATAAATGTTTGAATGTGATTGTTAATTATTATACAACTACACAACGCATTATATCCATGTTTGGATGATTAATCATGTTACGTTACAACAATGTTATACTTTTTCTTTTTATTATTGTCTAGTGCTACCCCTACTTCGCATTCCTGGATCCGCCACTGAGAACAGGCCCGTAGTATTAATCTCCATTTCTCATTTTTTGCCTAGGAGACCTTATTGAGTCCAAAGTTGCAAAAAATATGAAACTGAGGTAGTATATCTTTTAGAGTTGATTAAATCTAACCCGGGCTGAACATGGGCGAGCTTTGGGCAGCTTTTTTGTCCCTTTTTTTTTGGGCGGGCTTGTGAATGCATTTTCATGCTATTTTAGTTCATTTTTTTTGGTTTGTCCTGAAAAGCCCGCATGGCCCGCCATTTTTGGCGGGATTGGGCATGGAATTTTTTGCCCGAATATAGGCCAGGCCTAGCCAGAGAAATGGGTAGATTTTTTGTGGCTCGGTTCGACCCGCGCGTTGATCAAGTTTAATATCTTTATACGGAGTATTAATCTGGTAATTATGGGAAAATACCAATCAATCAATTTGATAAACAAAATTGTTTATCAAATGGCGAATTTGTTAAATATGGGTCATACTATTGTTGATTTATTTTAAAAAAAAAATGTCATGATGACCGGACACATATGTTATTTTATTTACCATTTTTCCATTTAATAAACAAATTTTTTTTATCAAATTGATTAGCTGAGACTACCTCAGTAAATATTGCAAATCATCTAGTCAATTTTTTTCCTAGTCTGTAGCCTAAATTATACGAGTATAGCCTTAATGTAAGCTATTGTATCATGTACAATTGAAGTATATTATTAAGAGACATCAATGATATAAGACACGAATTATTCTCTTTCACTAATTTGTTTATTTGTGTGCTCTATTTTATTTATATATTTTTTTGAAGGAAAGTAATTTACATGTAAGTTGGGAGATAGGAAGACTAATCTATAAAATTAATGGCCTCCTCATATCACCAATTGATTTTAGGATGAAATTATGTGGGGCTTTATATGTGGTCATACATACTCTCCTTCTTGTGGACTTGCGTGGTTAAATGGCTAATTGAAAGTTATCATGATATTAAAGCCAACTATCTTGCCTATTATTAACATTCAATGAAGGTAACATTCAATGAAGGAGGACTCAATGCTTTACAAAGTGCAACATAGAAAGGATTTGAAGATTTGTATGTAGCACGTAGCCAAATAAAATTGTGATTATCATAGAGACCACTTGACCTCATGTTAGAAGTCTAAAGATGGTCAATGAGAAAATTTGTGATAGGTTTAGATTGTAATATCTAAAATTGTTCACATGTGAGGGTTAGTGATGGAAACGTAACTGACATGTGATTTTATATAAGATTAGTGGGGTACTCCACCTATCACCAATTGATTGTAGGATGGAACCTTGCTAACCTTTATTTATGGTCATTCTCTCTTTTGATGTAAGCTCGTGGTTAGCCTAGTGATTTAGTTAAGTTTATCATTTCTACTACAAACCACCCACATTACAATATAATTTGAGTCGTACCCTTGACTCACATCATTTCATCAAATAATACAACTTAACAAAAACTGTTTAAACATGGAACGAGTCGTACCCTTCAAACCAAAACCTACAATTTGAGCCTCGACTTTACTATACCCTTGACATAATCCGAGTATCACTTTTCAAATTAAAGACCCTTTGAATCCCAAAAAGGATTATGCTATTATAGATTGTTTAAGCCTTAAGCTAGAATGAAGAACCGACATTAGGCGCCTTGCTTCCGCAAATGTTGCCCGTAATAATGCCTCGTGTCTTTCTCT